TCTGCCAGGCGTTGAATACTTTTAGGAACATTGCTAAAATTGCTAAAACCACTTTCGCTTTACTTTCCCCCGCCCGGAAAAAACAGAGTCCCGCAGCAAGCGCATGAAGAAGATGCTGCTGCCCCTTCTTTTGGCCCTGAAGCTGAAGAAGGCCGTTGTTGTCAAGATTATGTTCACCATCATCAAGTTCATCTCGCTGAAGGCTTTGGCCATCTCCTTCCTGGCTCTCATCCTGGCTGGTGAGTTTGCGACCAGTGATCTCAGGAATAGCACTTTTAACCCGAATCTTCCGCACAGGTGCCACTTTCTTCAAGGATCTGCTGGCCAAGAAGAAGGAACACATCACCACTGCCTACATCACCGGCAGCCCGCTGAACGCCGACATCGTCCACTCCGACTGGAGTCGCAATGGTCAGGCAGGAGCCGCCGATCTGGCCTACAACCATTATGGCCTGGCCCAGCCCTTCTAAGCCGGAAACACCCACCGATCCATCCATCGCACTTCGTACTAGCCTGAATCTTTCACCTCCTATATCCTACCCAACCAAAGCGCCTCCCTTCTTCAACTTCCCCCACTTCACCCCCATTTTCACAACCTATCCCTTTAAGACTTCCTGAAGAATGGTCTAATTCGTAGTCAATAATTATTTAGTTACATTTAGTTAGTTAGCTGCGACATACCAAAAAAATCACAAAAAAAGAGAACTATTGAAACGGTCCCTCGACCCTTGGCTCGCCCAAATGACAATGCTTACGGATACAACGGTCAATCAATGATTGATTGCACCATATTTATTGCACTTTCCCAATCCATGTCTCTTGGCGGTCGTACATGTCACTCAGGTTCATCGAAAGCAACGAAGATTATGCCTGCTAAAGAGCTTACTTACTAAGTATTTATTCAGATAACTTAAAGCAATTGAATAAAAATGATTCATCAAATGCAAAACCAAACACTCTTTAAACGCGTTACCCAAGTCGGAAAACTTGGGAGTGTACAAGTATATTTTTAAAAAGGGAATGATGTATATAATTTCCTTGTTGAGTGTCAGAGGCATTTCTAGAAAAGTCACTGGGAAAAGTGTAAGCACCAACCTGGAAATGGAAATTATTTCTCTTGTTTCTCTTGCTTCTATTTAAACACTTTCCTTGAACGACTTGCTAAAACAAATCCATTGAAGACATATTTTCGCTTAATTTTATTAGCAAAGCTGAGCTTGGGCCCGCGGCTTTCTTTGCGTCAACTTCCTAATTGATTTTTAATCAAGTGTCCCACTTGTCGTTGGTATAAAAACAGCACTCGCGCTGACCAAAAGTCAACAGAATCGATATGAACGCCCTAAGTAACAAACTCATTGGCTGTCAGATTAAGTTCGCCCTCATTGTGGGCCTGCTGGTGTCCTTGGCCTGGGCACTTCCTGTCGAGGATGATAGGAAGACCCTCACAACACAAAATAATGCCGTGAACACCCAGCAGCCAATCGAAGCTGCCCCGGTGGTGGAGGAAGCGGAAAATGTTGGACAGCTCCGATTCCCGCCTTTCGATAACAATGGAGGCAAATTTTTCGAAAGATTTGGAGAAAAATTCAGGAGCAAGTGGACCCCATCTACAACGATCAAGAGTACGGCAGTATCAGCTCCATAGGAAAAATTAAAAGTACCGAAAAGATTACCACATACTTCACATTAATATGTATTTAAATTCACGTTACTATGCCAGAACTAATTTGACTTATCTTTTCAATAAAACTATTATTTATATATTGTAAATATTGTAGAAGCATAAAACTGGTGTTCATGCCAAGCTAAATGTATAGAGGATATCCTTAGGGATATATAAAAACCCATATTATTACCGATTACTTTGTTCCAAACACCCCCTATAATTCAGATAGGGAAATGAAATATCTGCTAGGCAAACAGCGGAAATCAAAAGTCGACCAACAAATTGGTCATTAGCACTGCATGTAATCTGAATATTAAACAGGTCATTCTCGGGTGGAAAGATAAATTTCTTCATAGGCAATACGCGCAAAGAAAGTAGCAAAACGACGCTGGGCAAGACACAAATGAAAATGAAGTAATAATTAACTATGAATTGTTAGTTAGTCCCAGTTGGGCAGGCAAAATGCGAGGTCTTAATTTATGAAGGTCCGAGGCACGCGACGTTTATCAGACACTTGTAATTACCTGAATTCCCGAGTCTGGGAGAGTTTTCTTCTCCGACTCTTGGGGAATTCATGGGCTGGAACTTTTGGTGACAGAATTAGCCGACCGTTTCGCAAGACTGACGCCACCGCTGCCGCAGAGGAAAGCGAAAGTGCCGCCCAGTTGGACGCAGCTGACTGACGCTGGGAAGAATTTCGACCACAAATCGTTTGGGTAATTAGAAAAGCACAAGGGCCCAGTGCGGACGGAGTACGGTTTGGTGAAAGGGAAATGGGAATGGAAACGGTGGCATTGGGTATAAAAGCAAAGGCCTTCAAATCGAGATGATGCAGTCTCTCGAACAGTCCCCATTAGATAGCCAGTAGATAGCGAAGATGTTGCTGACCAAGACCCTGGAATACCTTTTTTACCTGGCCCTATTCGCCTTCATGTGCAAATACGTCACGGCTGCCAGTGTCCAGCCCACCGAAATACCGGCGATTTCTCCGGAAACCATTAGAAAACCCCAAAGGGCAGACAGTCTTTCCAGTGGCTGTGAATCATCTGCGTTCAGTTGGATGTGCCTTAAGATCGAGTTCGTCAAGATCATGGAAAAGCTCGCCGAACAGGAGGAACTAAACGTTTTGCCTGGCATCAGTGTGGTCAAGGATGAGAATGCCACCGAACTCAAGACATCGGAGCTCATGGCAGGTACGTTCTGCTTTATAGGCTTTCTTGCGCCTAATTTTCATTGTATTTCTATTTATCATGATAAAAGAAATACTTTAATCACTAAATAAACTATGGTTACCATAAAATATCAATTTCTATTTATAAACAGAAGTGGCTCGCAGCTATCCCAGTGACCCGAGCACCCGCTTGAATGGCTATATAGTGGCCAAACTGGAAAACCTTCTGAGAACGCGCATCCTCCGATTTCGCCTGCTGGATGACAATTCCCTTGTAGAAGGTCGCAAGCACAAGTTCGGCAAGAAAGGAGGCTTGGAGGCCCTGGTGGCGGCCGGAGTCATGATGAAGGGAATGCTTATGGCCATGGGCCTCGGAGCCATCGCTCTGATGGCCGGAAAGGCTCTGATGACAGCTTTAATGGCCTTGACCCTGTCTGGAGTCCTGGGTCTTAAGAGCTTGGCCGGTGGCGGGGGAAAGTCCACCACATACGAGATTGTGGCTAAGCCAATTTACACCTCCAGCCACTCGCATTCGGTTACTCACGAGGATGGAGGTCATTCACACAGTCCCCACTTTGCCGCAGGTGGCGGTGGTGGTGGAACTGCCAGTGGCTTTGGCTACGGAGGATATGCTAGGTCCTTGAACGTGGATCAATCAGCAAACCAAATCTAATAATTTTAGAAAGAAACCGACAGTTGCATTGCCTTAATTTATTAATTTATTGTACTTTATGAAACAATACAATAGCATACAGTAGACTTGTTTTAGTTTTAATGTGTAATTATCTTAAAACTGCAAATGCGTTAGTCTATTTTGTACCCGTCACTAGATTCTGTGAAAAGCACTATATGTAACAGTTACAAAGATGTTTCCAATCTTATAAATTGCGTACATATGTATATAGTTAAATGATATTCACTGGGGACGCCTAATAAGACTCTTTCGCCCACAAATTTAAAAAGCGTTTTGATTTTATTATATTATTTGTTTAGTCAATTCCTATCGACGTTCCAAAAATAGTTTGGGAACTCACAAGCCGAAAAAAAAATGTTTTCGACCAAAATTTTGAAAAACATCCATAGATCGCAAACACTAAAAGTGTATACTAAATTCGTTAAAAAAATATGTAAAAGGCAGGAGGAAGCGTTTCCGGCCTTATAAAGTATACATATTCTTGATCAGGATCACTTGCGTCGACTTGGTTATGTCCGTCTATCCGTCCTTCTGTCAGTCTGTCTGTCCGTCCGTATGAACGTCAAGATCTGATTCCTAAGAAAGTTGTGATTAAGCATGCAGATTACAGAGACATAGACACAGGCAAAGAGACTAACGGACATGACGAAATCGTCTCGGCTGATCAAAAGAATTTACAAGTTATAATTGTTATAATTTTATAGGCACCTTTGCTAGCCGTTAAAAATTAATGTATTTAAAAACTTTAGAAGTTGAGATTTAATACCCACATATATACTCAAAGTCTTCCTTTCTAAAAAAAAACAAGAGAGAATGCTATAGTCGAATTTCACGACTATCAGATACCCGTTACACAGCTAGAAATTTCAACATTTTCTGGGATATCAGGGAAAAAAAATAATTAAATGCAAAAACAAAAAAAGAGCTGTGCGGTTGGTGGGCGTTAGAGTGGGCGGGGCAAAAAGTATTTTGGCAAATTTATAGAAATTTACAATATATAAAAAAATAGAAAAAATATCACAACATTTTTCAAAAGTGTCGGCGTGGCAGTTCTGGACGGTTTGTGGGCGTTAGAGAGGGCGTGGCAACATCATGTAACAAACTTGCGATGGGTCTATGTCCCTGCATGCCTAATCTTAACTTTCTAGGTTTTATAGTTCCGGAGATCTAGTTCATATGGACGGACATGGCCAGATCAAATCGACTGCTGATCCTGATCATGAATATATATACTTTATATATTATGATCGGAATCGCTTCCTTCTACCTGTTACATACTTTTCAACAAATCTAGTATACCCTATTACTCTACGAGTAACGTATATAAAAACTTTGCTAACATTCCATATGTCTATCAATTAGCAGAATTATTAGAAACAGAGTCCATTGACCAACTTTCCAATTCGAACAAGTTTGCCCATATAAAACGAGAAATTTAGGAAGGGAACTTCAGTTGTCTTGGCATCACCATGACGTCGATTTGTTATGGTACGTATAGGAATATATTTTCTTGTTTGTAAATAATAAAAATTCTATTTGTATAGCAAGTGCAATAATAGTCTGCATATTTAAAGTACATTTTTGTACGGCGGAGACTGATCACGTATTAAAGCCACAGATAGTTGGTGCTAAAAGCCAACTATCAGAGAATGAAATATTCCGGTCGGAATTGCCCATTCCCATCAAACTAAACTATGGTAATCAGCCAATTTATAATAATAATAGGCTCCCGATTGTTGAATTGAAAGAGCAAAGAGCAGCAAACATTAATAAATTTTTGAGTGAGAACGTACTCAAGGATAGAATTTTCCAAGATTATGATAAGCCTCCTACCGACATCGCTCTGAAGAGGTTTCGGAAAAAGTGGAGAAAAAGGAAAACGTCTACAAGGCCCCCAACAACCGTATCTTCGGATCCAGCATCAACGGTACCTACATCTACTGCAATACCAACATCAACTGAGACGCCCACATCCACTGCGATCCCAATAACCACGACAAAGTTTCCAATAACATCAACAGCAATTCCAACGTCTACAGAAAGCACAACACAGTCTTTAACAACATCAACAGCAATACCAACATCTACAACAACCACTGCGGAGTCATCGACGACATCCACAGCAATTCCGTCGTCTACAACAACCGCCACGCAGACTCCAACAACTTCAACGGCAATTCCAACGACTGCAACACCCACAACACAGTCTCCCACAACTTCCACAGCGATTCCAACGTCGACGACAACCACAACACATTCTCCAACAACTTCAACGGCAATTCCAACGTCTACAGCAAGCACAACACAGTCTTTAACAACATCAACAGCAATACCAACATCTACAACAACCACTGCGGAGTCATCGACGACATCCACAGCAATTCCGTCGTCTACAACAACCGCAACGCAGACTCCAACAACTTCAACGGCAATTCCAACGACTGCAACACCCACAACACAGTCTCCCACAACTTCCACAGCGATTCCAACGTCGACGACAACCACAACACAGTCTCCAACAACTTTAACGGCAATTCCAACGTCTACAGCAAGCACAACACAGTCTTTAACAACATCAACAGCAATACCAACATCTACAACAACCACTGCGGAGTCATCGACGACATCCACAGCAATTCCGTCGTCTACAACAACCGCCACGCAGACTCCAACAACTTCAACGGCAATTCCAACGACTACAACACCCATAACACAGTCTCCCACAACTTCCACAGCAATTCCAACGTCGACGACAACTACAACACAGTCTCCAACAACTTCAACGGCAATTCCAACGTCTACAGCAAGCACAACACAGTCTTTAACAACATCAACAGCAATACCAACATCTACAACAACCACTGCGGAGTCATCGACGACATCCACAGCAATTCCGTCGTCTACAACAACCGCCACGCAGACTCCAACAACTTCAACGGCAATTCCAACGACTACAACACCCACAACACAGTCTCCCACAACTTCCACAGCAATTCCAACGTCGACGACAACTACAACACAGTCTTCAACAACATCAACAGCAATTCCAACGTCTACAGCAAGCACAACACAGTCTTTAACAACATCAACAGCAATACCAACATCTACAACAACCACTGCGGAGTCATCGACAACATCCACAGCAATTCCGTCATCTACAACAACCGCCACGCAGACTCCAACAACTTCAACGGCAATTCCAACGGCTGCAACATCCACAACACAGTCTCCTACAACTTCCACAGCGATTCCAACGTCGACGACAACCACAACACAGTCTCCAACAACTTCAACGGCAATTCCAACGTCTACAGCAAGCACAACACAGTCTTTAACAACATCAACAGCAATACCAACATTTACAACAAACACTCCGGAGTCATCGACAACATCCACAGCAATTCCGTCCTCTACAACAACCGCAACGCAGACTCCAACAACTTCAACGGCAATTCCAACGACTACAACACCCACAACACAGTCTCCCGCAACTTCCACAGCAATTCCAACGTCGACGACAACCACAACACAGTCTCCAACAACTTCAACGGCAATTCCAACGTCTACAGCAAGCACAACACAGTCTTTAACAACATCAACAGCAATACCAACATCTACAACAACCACTTCGGAGTCATCGACGACATCCACAGCAATTCCGTCGTCTACAACAACCGCCACGCAGACTCCAACAACTTCAACGGCAACTCCAACGACTACAACACCCATAACACAGTCTCCCACAACTTCCACAGCAATTCCAACGTCGACGACAACTACAACACAGTCTCCAACAACTTCAACGGCAATTCCAACGTCTACAGCAAGCACAACACAGTCTCCAACAACTTCAACGGCAATTCCAACATTTACAACAACCACTGCGGAGTCATCGACAACATCCACAGCAATTCCGTCGTCTACAACAACCACAACACAGTCTCCAACAACTTCAACGGCAATTCCAACTACTACAACATCCACAACACAGTCTCCCACAACTTCCACAGAAATTCCAACGTCGACGACAACCACAACACAGTCTCCCACAACTTCCACAGAAATTCCAACGTCGACGACAACCACAACACAGTCACCAACAACGTCAACGGCAATTCCAACGTCTACAGCAAGTCTTTAACAACATCAACAGCAATTCCAACCTCTACGACAACCACAACTAAATCATCGACTACATCCACAGCAATTCCGTCGTCTACTGCAATCGCAACTCAGTTTTCAACAACGACACCGGCGATTCCCATGTCTTCAACAAACACAACTGAGTCATCGACCACATCCACAACACAGTCTTCCACAATTTCCATAGCAATCCCAAGGTCTATAACACCCACAAGCATCAGCCAAAATGAAAATAACAGTAGAGCGTTTTTGAATACAAAAGAAAAATACTAATGTGAGGAAACAATAATAAAATTTCTATTGGATACCATTTAATTATTGAATTTCATTACTAAAACTATGTTTTTATTAAATGACCTTAGGGGTTGTAACTGTTGAGAAAATATTAGTAACGAATAAAAATTGCAGGATCTTTCTTACATTCTTACTATTACTGTAAGGCAGGCTTAGGCTCAACACCCAAATAAGGTACGAGAGATACCATTAATTAATTTTTCAGATATTGTGTGGTGAGCTATTAGTAATATGAAATATTTTAAGAACAAATCATTCATATTCTGCTTAAGTTACAATTTTGGGTTTCTACCCTAAATTAATATAAAATTCCACTTCGTTATAAGTAAATTTTTCGCCCTCTTCTTTATTTGCCTAAAATTGAACAAACACGAGTAAGAAAAGGCAAGACTAAGATAAAAATGAAATGCATTTGACGTGCTAATCGATTTAGAATCATTACCATGCTTATGAAAATAACCACTGCAAAGGATGCAATACTTTTAGTGAAATACAAAAAAAAAAAGGGTCCCATGTCCTGATCATGTGAATATTTCCACTTGTTTTAAATCTTTGAACTCTGAATTGTTAATTTAATTTATAACTATAACGTGGTGTATTAATTTCAGCATTTGAAATATAGGCCAATAGACAAACTTCAGAATCAAAAAAATTATTTATAAACTTTCCCTGTTATTAATTAACACAATCATTAAATGATGTTTATATCGCTACTTTCCAATTTTAGCCTACATTGAATTATAAAAGGTTTACCAAAATGTAAGAGAAGTAGCCAAGTTCTTTGAAGGATTTTGCTTAATTTCCAGGGTAAGTGCATATATTTTTGGTCAAGAATGTCAGGAATACCTGTCAAGAATTTTTCTTTGCTAATATTTTTATAATTATGGACTGCAAAATGATTTAGAAGCTCAAATTCATTAATTATAAAGATTCCTTTATTTAGCTACGGCACTATGCATATATATATTTCTTGAAAACAGCATCACTTTTATTAGTGTACATAATTAACCCTTGCAGAGGGTATATTGATTTCGGTCAAATGTTTGCATCGCAGTAAAGGGGTTAAAAAAAAGCAAGTTCAAGAGAAATGAATCATTATTTTTACAAATTTAAACTGATTATATACATGCAGGCTTAACTTTTTTTTATTGGTAGACAGGGAACATCGCATAGTAAATTGTATGTTCTAATGAAATTAGTGTGTTAATTAGCAAAATTATAAAGAATTGATTAACCAATAACCTACTTTCCAATTCAAGACAGACATATAAAGACCGAAAAAAATCAAAAATATGTTCAGTTTGTTTAACGTCGCCATGAAGTTATTTTTTAGTGGTACGTAAAGATAATTATGCATTTAACCTTCTGATATTTTAACAAGTATTTTTAGTGGTAGCCCTTCTCGTATGCCTAACTAGACAAAGTTTTGGCCAATTGCAAAATGAGCAGGTGCTGGCAGTGCTGAAAGCTAGCGGAGATGATCCAAAAACTCCACTGCTTGTGCTTTCAAATCCCACAGCAAGGCCAACATTTGGAGAGTCAATAAAATCGGAGCAGGATATTGAGACCACACTACTTCCAGATCCGGCAACCACTATTTCACCAGCCAGTTTTCCAACGGCTTCCATAGAGAAGCGGAAGAAAAAAACAGGACCTTCTCAGAAGCAGAAAGCTGGCCTGAATCATGAACCAAAACAGACATTTTCCGTGCAGAACCTATTGCAGATGCCCGGAATGTGGGAGAGCTCCCCAATTATTGACCAGGGACCAATGAATACCCTATCCGCCCAACCAGTCTTCTATCCTTTTCCAGTTTATGTACCATATCCGATGCCGTTAATGATGAACCCACAGATGCACCTGATGAGCAGACCGTCGAAGGATAAAGTGGATGACGAAATCTCTATGGGCTCCAATGAGATGATGAGCGCAAATCTACTTAGAAGCTCTTGCCAGCCAGACAACGGGTCTGCTTGGCAGAAGATTATCAAGAATCGAGTAAAACCAGTCATCCAGGATGGCCAGAAAATTTGGAGAGGAAAATGGCGAAAGTCAACGACAACTTCTACTTCTTCTTCTACTTCTACTTCTACAACTACCACAACTGAAACTCCTGGCACAATGCCAACTGAGTCAATATGATAGCTGTCGGATAGCAGAAACCAAAGCGATACTACCAATGAAAAGAATTAGACAACAATAAATACCTGGAAGTTTTATATTTACATTACAAGTGGTTAAGTCTTTTCAGAGTTTATTCGGTAGTTCGTGTTTCAACTGTATTTAAATCGATAAAAACATATTGAATAAAACCCGTAAAATCAAAACATGTTTAAAAGTGGATAAAATAGTAATACAATTGACTTATTTACATCTATTAAAGGGCTTTAAACACGTCCGTCCGCACGTCCGATCTGCGAGAAACTTTCCCAAAGGAAATGTTACTTTTGCAGTTAGTAAGAGTATTTGGGTCAAACGGGCCATGGGAATAAAAGAAAATTAAAGGGGAAAAAAAATCATTCGCTGTTTTTGATCACAATGTGTTTTTATTTTGTACACACCAGTTCTTGGACAATATATAATTTCGTCTTTGATTTTATGAAAATCTATAGATTTTTTCATAAAGTTGTATTATTTTTAATCATAATGATAATCATAATCTTTTTCGGTATACACCTTTTCATTTAATTATATAATTACTACAAACTGCTTGTCACATTAAATTTCAAAAGTTTTTTTAAAATTATAAGATAAATAGGAAATGAAATTGTCATCCGGATTAGCCAGACCTTAATGCGCCTCTTAGTCGATTTATTTTAGGTCAGTAGAGTTGTAGCATACTTTCAGGCGGTTAGATGGACTTTCTTTCTCGCCACCTCTCTCCCAGTTTGTATCTGTGTACTCCTCAATGTATATGCATCTGTATTTGAACGATTAAACTCACCTACCAACACCCAAAGTTGGCCGCATCTGCTGTGCGACGGCACCTCCATTCAGTTGGTTATCCACGCTCGCCGGTCATCCACGTTTATCGCGCCACTCTTCTTGTTTTTATTGGCAAAAGCAAGCGTGAAAAGTGAAAGACACGACGGATTCTGGAAATCAAACTAAACTTATTTCTTGTGAAAACCGAGAGCGAAAGTGACTGCCGGACCAATAACAAAACCACTCGCTAATTAGGCTCCACGCCATGACAAGCTACACCGCATTGCGCCCAAAATTATGAGCCAATGTTGATGATCAGAGCGTGATTACTGTGCGTGTTAATTTCCGGGGAACCGCTTTTGCAAGTGAGCAGGTAAAGTCAGAAAGTCGCACAATCCAATCGAACAGCTATGCAAATATCTGACCCAGTTTCAGTTTCATGAGTGACCAATAAGACAAAGGCCAACAGCTGGCAAGCCGGTTGCACTTATCAACCGAAAAAATGAAAACCTGTTTGCAGGGGAAATGCAATGCGGGTCCGTGTGCATTTGGCCCAGTGGGTAAAAGTGAAATTCAATGCGGTTGCATGACTCCGCCAGCTGCCTTCGTTGGGTTCTTAAGCTTCTTAAACACCTGTTCCGCCCACCTTGAGTTATTAGCGCATGCCAGATGGGAATCTCAACACGCTCTGATACCCATTAGAATGCCCATTAGTGCTTTGCTGGGCTTGCGTGCTCGGCGGTTGTAAGTTCTCAGAACGAAGCAAACCGAAAATAACAGAGTTATTTACAGTGATAAACAAATTAGGAGCATGCCAGAAGAAAGTAAACAAATGGCTGGGCAAAGCCAAGCGCGAATTGTGGTTCGCTCCAGATAATCACACTTAATTGAAAACGAAACCTTTCAGAATAATTTGCAGCCGATAAACCGCGGCCATATGTGCGAAACATTATTGTTTTTATTCCGAGCTCGAGTTATTTTTACTACACTTTTTAGTGTCCATCGGCCAATTAAATATTATTTGTTGCGCTCCTCGCCAGATGGATCGTGAAAAGTACGTTGAATCCGATCTATTTGGACTTAATAAGCGATTAGTGAGTCAAGTTGGTTAACCGCAACGAAAGCGAGTTAGCTATAGATTTCTCTGGGACGCAACCGAAGAAATGCAGACGGAGTTAAAAAACTCTTCAAAATATTTGCACGCTAACACAAATCACACCACACACTTGGCGAACTAAGTTACAGGCACGCACAAAGTGAAATTAGCAATCTATTAGATTGCAGTATACATTCACTAGGCGTTCGACTGAAACCGAAAGTCGGTCCGGGCATTGGAACAATTTCATGAAATGCAAATACTTAAAGCTTTACATAATCGCTCGTTGAGTGGCGCATTTGCGATGTTCGGATGCGTGCCTGCCCGAGAAATTGTCACATAAAAATGCAATAAAATCTCACGGAAATGCTGTGACTGACAGTGGCAAAACAACGACAACTCGCAGGGAAAGCTTGTTACCTTCCGAAAACGTAATCTGCCTGCCAGCCGAGAGCTGGCCATTTCCAAGTGCCATTAAGATAGATGTAATTGAATCATTATTAAAAAGAGCTCTCGAGTGAAAGCCAACAACAGAACAGCAGTCGTAATGAAAAGTCCCTCGAGGGTTGCATAAGTCCCAAAAATAATCTTTACGGGCATATTTCTCAATTAGCCCAACACATATTCATATTTTTATTCTGATGTTTAATAAAAATAACGAAATATTCTATAAAAATAACAGCATTAAATAAACTACCTGCTCAAACTCAGCTACAATTTGTATATCTAAATGTTTAAGGCGTTAAGCCATGCTTCTAAGCCGCAAACCTTTAAAGGCAACTAACGGTTGCAGCTGGGTCTTCGACTTGGCTTGAACCCGCGAAGAACTTACATCATATGACTTGGTTTCTTTTTTTGTCGAGCGTGTTCTGCTGCCACCAACTACCTAAACTTGATTTAGCTGGCCATTATTTTTATAGCAATTGTGTACTCGCTGGCATATGGCTATTGCTGTTGGCATGACATAAGCCGCCATGGCACTTTAATAGAATGCCTTTAATATGAAAAGCCATAACATCGCGAAAAGTTACATGAAACATGTCGCTTATGCACATTACGCATTCGTACCGCCCCATTCGTCGCAGCTCGTTAAAAATAATAATAATAATAAGTGGTTCTCCGGTGTGCAGCTGTGCACTTAAGGCGGGCTAATTGATTGCATTGGAACATCATCATAAGCAGCTGAAGCGCTCTTGAACTGACTTTCATGTCTAGGCCAAAATCAGGAACTATTTTCGGCTAATTGGAACGCCGGGAAGGTCTCAGACGGGCTCAGAGCCAAAGTAAAGCTGTAATAATGCGGTCAGAGTGCCCAGCACTCATATTGATATCTTGATCATAAGTGAAATATTACCTGGAGCGCTTTCAATGACCGATGAGCAACAAAAGTCACATGTATGCCACCACAAATCTTTTGTTGCTCTTCTCATCGGAAGTGGTACAAGTAATGGAGATTTTATTTGACAACTTGATTGCTTTTGTCGCCCAGAACTGCTTTTCTATTCTGTTCTGAATTCAAACGCTGCGAACAATAGTAAAACTTTGTCGACGATTATTTTTTAGAACATGTTCATTTATTGGCTTATATTAGTAGGTTAACTTTTGAACCAAAGGGAATATATAACGGAATCTTATACAATTCTTTGACTGAATAATTTACAATCGATTTGGTACTCAATTTTTAGATATTTAATATGCTTTAAGTCAACTCTGTCCCTTGTCTATTGACCCATTTTCTCGTATATATTGATTTTAAGTTGCCGGAATAAGTACTTGGTAACCATATTGGCGCCACAAAAACAAATAAACCTTTTTGTCGTTGTAGGAAACCCGTTCATTGGACACCAAACGGCCGTGAAAAGCGCCGACTAAGGAAAAGCGGCGCAAAAACTACAAGGAAAATTAACGTCAAGCCAGCAGACAAACTGCACTCGAAGCAATCCAAAGCTAACTGGAAAATGGATAAACAAACATAGAGGAGCGAGTGTAGCCCAAACAACTTTCAGCCGCGGCAAGAAATACAGTTAAGGTTTTGTGCGGCGGAAGAATCTAGGAAGAGCGACGTGTGAATGCAGGAGAAGATACCATTAACCGGCTACAAGATACAACCGATAGCGCACTGCAAAAAGACATCGACGGCCGAGCGAAACGCTGAGAAGAGCAAACAGCGAGAGAGCGACCGGTCTGCCTTAAGCCTGGCCATGATCTTGGCCAACTGTTTGGGCCACAACGCGCTCAGTTGTTAACCAGACGCGCACGCATGCGCACACGAGACGCGCGAACAGTTGATTTGCATATCCACGAGATACAGTAACTTCCAGATACGAAACCGTTAGGCCGTAGGTGTGTCGCAGTGAAGTAATTGCAGGTAGCTAGATACCCGACTAGAGCAAATAGAAAACGCGCTAAATGCGACAGTGAAATTCCAAACAAAGCTGTCGAAAACAAACACAGAGAAGAAAGTACATTAAAATCGATACAAAAAGAATTAGCTGCTCAAAAAATCAGAAAAAGTCCGACAATCAATGGAATAAAATTAGCGTGCTAAGTGCCGAGTGCCTCATAAATTGACTTGTCGATTGGCTAATGATTTCGCCAACAAAGCCGCCTTTTGTGTCCGCTTAAACGAAGAGCTGCCAAACACGTACCCGGTGAAATCAGCTAAATAAACAGTTGGGTTGCAGTTAAATTGCAGGGCCAAGGTGCAATTGCAATAGGAAAAGACATAGTGATTGCAATTGCAATTGCAATTGCAGGTCGAAGGTGTGAAGCAGCCGTCAGCAGTGCTAACCGGCTGAGTTAAACCAAAATAAAACGAAACTGAAATGCCCCATAATTGGAGCTCAGGTGAGAGCCAGCAGCAGTGGACATCCTCCAGTAGAAATCGCACATGCCACCCAGTGAGCATGGCCAGATCAACGAGTGTCCACTTGATTTTCCTCCTCCTGATCTGCTTAATAAGCTCGGCCGCGAAAGCGGATGGTCGTCTTGGACGTTATCTCTCCACCACTCCTTTGAACCACCTTGCCATGGAATCGCAGCAAATCGAGGAGCAGGGAACGGATTCCCCAGCGGAGCTGGAGCTTACGCCGACGACGGCACTGCCGCCGGATGAAGACTGGCAGCCCCTGGTGAATGCCACTAAGTTTCCCACGAGAAAGCCGATGGACAAAGTGGCTCTCGGTGATTCTCTGCTCCTCAGACTGGCCCGGCGATTCGCCAGTGGAAACGAGCTGTGGGACGGCCTGGTCCGCGACTGCTATTTAAAGCCAGATGTATCCTGCTTCCAAAAGAACGTCTTCAGCTACCTGGATACCGCGCTGGATGTACAGGATGTTAATGTGACTCAAAGGCTCAAGTTCTTCAAGAACCAAGTGAACTACCAAGTGGAAAGGGAGAAGGAGGAGCAGCCGGAGGCACGTGCCGGTAAGTGGGAAGGATATCGAAATGTTTTTTAAGTGTTCCACTTCTTGCCAATTACTCTTGGTAACCACACGTTGCTAGGGCCACCAGATAAATTACAACTGATCTTAATATAGATACCACATTTTTATTTACGCTTGATTAGGTGAAGCAGTTTCCACTGTTATAATATGACTAAATGTTTTCTCTAAAGGTTTTGGCTCTAAAATGTGTTAGGAAATACATGTACTCATTGTAATAACTAGTTTTAAAGTGAAACCGCATATTTATTTTCAATTGTTAATTTTAATTCAGGACAGTTCACTGAAAATTAACTCTGCGGTTTAAAATGGCGTTTTTTTCGCACATATCTTTAGCTAACAGCAACTTATGTAAGAGCCCTTGTCTGTGCCGCGTTTATGTGGTGGATCGGTTTTCACATCGATTCTTTTTCTCGTTTTGTCTACCTATAGCCGAGCACGTCCAAAAAAATGCCGCTGCCACTTCCAGTAACTTTCACTTGCCGCGTTTTGATTTGATTTTTTACGATTTTAGCTGCGCCAGAGAGCAGTAAAGTATCTGCTGCGGCAACGATCTCCAGTTTCTTGTGAGTCACGGCGCTTTGCTCTCAATTATGCGGGTATTTACCAGGCATCACATCAGATGTTATCTTTGGCTCATACGATGCATTGTAACAATCGACTATTGACAGCCATCGGGTCGGTCAATAATTATGTAAGCGGCTAGAATTGCGAATTTGCTAGGAGTATTTCAAGTCTAAAAGAAGTAATGTGGTGGAATATAAATAGATTTTAAAATAAAAATAAAATAGCTTAATTAATTAAATCAAAAATAGCACCGTGCAGTATAATTTTCTTATAAGTAGGGCGGGTGAAGTCTCGAAAGTTTTGGAAACCCAAGAAATTTTTAAAGAAATAAAAGATTGCTTAAGAAGACAGTATTGACCTATAACAAAATACAACAATCAGATACCCGTTACTCAGCTAGTGCTAAGATCTCGACCTTCATACAGACTTTATGTGATAGGAAACGCTTTTCTTCTACGTGTTACATACTTTTCAACGAATCTAGTATACCCCCTCTACAAGTAACGGGTATAAAAGATAATAAAAGGGTAGTCCTGATTGGTTTTCTGCAATTTATTTAATTGTTTTTTTTTGTTTATTGATGGTCAAACATTTTCGTTCTTCTTCTATTTTACCAATTATGCCATATAAGCAATTTTTAACGATCTAGGATAAATCTATCAAGTTAGCATATGAACATGTTACGGTTTAAACATGTTCAAGTTCAAAAAGTTCCCAAGCGGAAGAACTCCACTTCCTCTTTCGCAAAAAAGAAAATGGTTTTTAAGTACAACGCAAGCTTTAGGATGTGCATATTTCCGTGAAGTTGCGCTAGAACATCCTCATCCAGCACCCTGAGTAGGGGAAATCGCTTTCAGGAAAACTTTCATTAACCCAAAAGCGTCACTCATAAGTGTTTCACTGTTAATTCTCTAATCGATTCGCAAGCAGCCAGTGCGGAAACCCCGATCGAGGAAGTGACCAGCGCTCTATATGGCAAGAGTATCAAGTTTGCCATGACCCACGATCTGGAGGTGGATCTGCCCGAGGTTATGTTCAATGGCGCCACCTTTCGCATATCGCCGCGGGCCATCGAAGGCAACGGAATCATTGCCAAGCTGGAGCTGATTCCCAAACAGGTAGTCAAGGCCCGACTGGCCGGGGCGATAATCCAGAAGAAGATACGTAAGTAATACTCGCAATTTGTTTCCCCATCACGCAGTTGCACATGTAGAAGCAGATGCAGATGCAGATGCACATGCGGTTCTGCAGTAGAGGCCGCTTTCACTCTCTCCAAAAGTCTGATTCAATTGCTACTTTCGTTTGCCCAGAAAAATTTCTACGCAGCAAACTGGTGCTGTCATTCCTCGCATTGCTGCTGATCATTAAAATCATCAAGATCAAGTTGTTCTGGCTGCTGCCAATCGTCATCGGAGTTGGTGCCGCCAAGAAGCTGCTGCTGAAGTTCCTGCTCTTCCTGTTCCCAGCGCTCTCCCATCTCTTCAAGCTCTGCTCGCACTACCAGCAATCCTATCACGCACCCGCCAAGTACCACCATCACCACCACCTCATCGATCATCATCACACGGTAAGCGCAAATGGTAGATGATATTGCACACATTGGAGCTCAACTACTCTCTGGAAAGTTGACTGAAAAATGGAGACATTGCATTACTTGGTTTGAAATAGTTCAACTTGTTTTCCAAAACAGGTTCTACTTATAAGTAAAACACTGTTTTAGTTCTAAAGGTAGTTGGAATGCATCTTAAAAACCAATGTGAGCCCCTTGCAAACTCACTCACATTACTTATCTGTTATTGTATGTACATTTTACATTTTATGAGACTGCGATGTGACATTTGGTTAAACAAAATTTCTTCGATTCCTTCAAATGTTGCTAACTGGTTTGAGCTGGGCCGCTTATACTTCGGGCGTACTTTTGGAGAAATTTCATTAATAATCTGGATGAGATTCAGTGTTGTCTATAAGCCTGCCGGTCGGAAGTCGCTTTTGTTCGCGCCCCGGAAATTCAATTAGAAAAGTCTAAAAGCGCGTCCTTCGCCGCCAGTTGAAAAGTATTCCCATTGAAGGTTTCCGAGTCAAAATTTACAAAGCACGTGCCCTCGAAATCTCGAAATGAGCTCATGATGACGCAGACAGCTCGCAGCTTGACATGTCGTCAAATGAAATCCGTCTTTCAATTGGGCCGTTAGTGGGGAATAGACTTGGCCAAGGCTGTTGCTGTTGCTGTTGCCAAGACCTTTTCCCTCGAAGGAGTGCACACGCGTAGACACTCGTATTTATGAGATGCTTATGCTCGGATACGCAACCAGAAGTGCCGATAGGAGTTGAAATTTAACTGGGGCCAGGGGCTGAGCTGTCGGGATAATCCGGGATTCCATGTTTGCATGCGGCAATCATCCCTCGCGTAGGATTTCCCAATAAAGGATTTACTTCATAAAACGACCGCTTTGGCAATTATAGGTATATAATCCTTTACACACGTCGTTTACTGGCGTTTAGACCAACTACGACAGCTGGAGAAAGTGCGATTCCTATTGCACCTCGTTTCGCAGTTGAATATATGAATTTCTCAATATTTCAGGTGCTGGAAAAGAAAAGCATTGGCGGCAATAAAAAAATTGAATATCGACAGGGGAGTAGCTTATACGTATTCCGAGTGTGTTACACCCAGTTGGCCAATGAAATGCGCATATTTTCCAGACAACCCACAGTCTTTACACATACGCGGTGCCATCCCTGTCTGCTCTCGCACTCGGTGTAAATTAAATTAAATCACAAAGTGAAAGACTTTCCAGCCAAGAGGACCCAGAAACACCCACTCAACATGTCGTCTGTTTGTGAGCGTTTGTCATCAGTTTTCTATTTTCTAGGAGAAGTTTTCAGCCGCACAGCATGAAATACGATTCGAACTTGGCACACCATAAAAATCACAAATAATAGGCAGAACTTGAACTTCGAGTCATTTGCCAGGCAATGACACAGTCGCATATCTCCGCATTTCATTCGTTATTTACGGCTTTCTGGCAGTCATTGAACCGACTTTCTGAGTTAAAGCCATCTCAGCACCAAGACAAAGTCGCCAGAGTAATGCGTTTTATTTCGTCGGTTCAAACATGACTATAAATAGCCAATGTCGCGTTGGGGGACCCGAAAGGGAAGCCCTCCAGAGCAATGAGAAAAGTTTCGCTGCCGAGTTTATTAAAATGTCATGTTGAAGCCTTGCAGCAACGACTGGTTTATTACACATTTTGAACTTAGAGTCGCTCTTGGCAGCACTTGCAACTCGAACACCCTTTCATCAACACCCTTAAAATAAGTGAAAATGACAAAACCTAAGATTTAGAATCAAAATCTTGATTCATAAGGTGCCAACTTTTCATACTCCAAGGATCAAGACAGCTCAGAGCTTTTATTGTTTATTCTTGGTTAATTTATGAACAAACTTTTTAGGCACAAGTCTTAAATACAATAAGGAAAAGTCTTGCGTGAGTTATGTAGAAGTAAGTTGAATAATAACTATTATAACTATTATAATACAAGGCTTTGTCGTACAATTTAAATATCTTCCTACAACACGGAGTAAGGTCTACATTTTAACTATTGGTCGGTAAGGGTAAATTTAACTTTAAACGCTACATGGGTATTCGCAATAACCATTTTTGTTATTTCCGTAACTCAAAATTACATTTCTTGATTCTCAGGTTGTTCCGCCATGGCACAGTGGTGAGCACCACTCGGTTCCGGAAATCATTTATACCCACCCGCCTAAGGGCCATCCGTCCGCCTATCTCCATGGAGCGCCGGTGCACGAGAGCTACGGACCCGGATTCGAACACTTCGAGGGCGCCTGGGAGAACAGTGGTCCTGGCCTGGGATCCGAGTAAGTTCCGCTTCTCTAGACTGCACCCACGCTTCCGCATCCGCATCCGTAACTGCTACTGTAACTGTCTGTGTCTCTGTCTTGTTTCTAAACCACACTCGAACACACCACACACGCATCCGACTTGCATCACCGAACCATAGATACATAGGCGATATAAATCGCGTTGCACAAATAGAGGAGAATGCCCATAACTTTAAGCCCCACCCGGCGAATGACGCCGGGGTCCTGCATGCTTGGGGCCTTGGCACCACACAACAGGCACAACATCAGCCGCACCAGCCACATCAAAGATGGCCTGTCACCCAGCAGGCGAGGCCACCCACGCAGCTCAAACAGCAGGCGCAGCAGCAGACGCAGCAGCAGCAGCAGCAGCTCAAGCTTCATCTGCAACAGCAATTAACTGCTCAGAAAGTACAAGCCTCTAGTCACAGTTTAAACCCATTTCAAAGTCAGGAGCAACAAAGGTACATGCCACTCAGGGGCAACCGAAAACCAACAAACAAGTACACCCACGCACATGGAAACTCACTCGCACCTCCACAGAAACACGCACCCAACACCCATAAACTAGACCCTTATATAGTCCACTAACCCTCGGGGAAGTCCTTGTATTTTCTGACTACTTTTTTCCGGCACAATTACAGCCAGAATTCCATGCTTTATTTACTTTTTGTGTGATAACCACCGAGTTCTATTTGCTTTCTATGCAATTTCCTTCTTCAACCTCATTGAAATTATTATCTTTATGATTTAACATAATTTGTGTTATTATATACAATCAATTTGCATGACCCTGTATAAGGAACAATCGATTTTCCGGTAGACTGTAACTTCGTGTATGTACAAAGACTCATTTGATGGGGATTTCCCGGTGCCTGTTTGTGTTCCTACCACTCCGTATGTCCTTCCTGTTCCGGCTTATCCAAATGTAATTAAAATTATTTAATGAAAGCCAAACAACGCCCGCTGCTGGTTGGCAATTGATGCCAATTAAAAAGAGCAGCCAAAGAGCAGCGAAAAGGAAATTTGATTCCAATGGCACTATTGCCCCACCCGGGCTGACCCGCCCACCCATCCACTAACTCACCCAGCCACACCTGCCAGCGGCGCCTAATTTCCCCGCTTTTCCAGCTCAAGGCCGGCACACACGCAGCACCATCCGGTGTACGTTCCGGGACAGGGACACCATCCGCCGCAAAATGTGCCCGGACTCACGGCAGCCGCACAAATTGCCGCGCAGTACGATCCCGCGCGCAACAATCAGCATCCGCAGCAGCAGCAGCATCAGCCGCCGCAGCAGCCAAATCAGGAGCCACAACTTTCGGTGCGTATCACATTACAGACCATTAAGTACGTTTAGTACTACATTCCCACCAGCCATTCCGTTGGCACATGTGCATTTATTATAATATGTATGTAATATGTGTGTATGTATGTACATAAAAAAGGACTCTGCGAAATCAGATATCCCCCATATGGTCATGGGTAGCAGGAGTTGTGGCATTTTCCATTTGAAGCTATGAGGGGAAACACACTTAGGAAAATAGGGTTCAGTTTGGAGGCTACTTGCAGCAAGCAGGGAATCATCCCAAAGGTATGAATAGGTGTAACATGAGGGGAAAATGGCTGAATGGCCTGCAAATGTGACATTGAGACCAACTCGACTATATGCACATTTCAAAAATATTGAAATACGAAATCCATTTGTATTTAGTTGGCGTAAGTTCGACCAATGTACTGCAATTGGTTGGCATTTCCATTCTTATGCTGTTCTGTATTTTAGCATAAATAAATATATAATGACTGGCAACTTTCCCAGCCAGCAAGTTTCCGAGCAGCCGGATGCCACCACCTACTGCCTCTGGACTACTCTCATCATTAGTGGCTCCCATTTGCAGATTGTACATTTGTTTAGCTGGATAACAACACACCCATTCAGGCTGCTGCAGTTTCACTTGCAAACAATCGTCCGGCACATGGCTGTCTTTATTGACACTTTCCTCAAAAGTGCAAATTGTTTTCCTATGATGTAAATTGCCTTGTCTGCATGGAACTCTTTTCTCTTTTTGCCCAGCGACACCATTTCGCCGACTGCAAACTGCAGGCCCTGCAAGGTGAATGGCGTGGCAAACAGTTTGGCCAGTCCAACAAGCTTAGCCGACTGGCTGACTGACTAACTGACTGACACTCACTGACGGTTTTCACTTTCAAGTGCGCGAAATGCCGGCCGGTGTCAACTAAGCCATAATTAAAATGCACTTTGCCATTGCACTGCCCGACAGACAGCACAGTCCATAGGCTTGCAAAACATCCCGCTGCTCAGCCTAATTAAAAGAGCACACCTCGCCTTAACCAAGTTTCGAATATGATGGGAACTAGGAGCTGCCCGGAAAGTGGGCCAGTTTGGTCCGATGAGCTGTCCGCAACAGAAGGTTAGCAGCTCAACCCTTTTCACACAAAGTGCCATTCGTGGCAACTTCCCACTTGGGTTTCGACTTGGTAACACATCGCGGTATTAAGCTTAGAATATAGTTGCAACTTTTGAATTAATTGGGTTTCATAAAAAGCCTACCTAGTTTGCATGCTTATCCTAAAGGCCTCACGGCTGTTCTCGAATTAGGTTGAAAATATTATAATAAAATCATTTGAAACACTCTTGAAGCTCCCTCCCAAAAGATTGAATAGTAGCCAACATTTAGGCACTACTTTACTTTCCTACATATATGTAAGTAATTACATTAATTTTCTATACGCATCGATGAAAATCCTTACATACACGTATATATGCGCACTTGTATTGTATTTCCTAGTAATACTAATAGTATTTTCCATAATACGAGTACATTTTTAAAGTGTATATCCTGGAGATATAACTGCTTTCGCAGTATTATTTGACTAAGTCATAAAGTTCTCCACTTTTTTACAGCCTGAACTAGCAGCCCAACTTAAGGAGGCTATTCGCATCCAGGCCGAGCAGCGCCTCATCCAGCAGCAGCAGAAGATCCTGGAGCATCAGCCCTTCGTGCAGGACGGACAGGTTTGCAATTGCCGCATCCGCCACTCAAGTGACCATGACAAATAACTTGTATCTTTTCAGCCGCTGTATCCGCTCAACTACGATCCGTTCTACAGCCCCATTCTGCTGAAAATCGACAAAATCATCGAGCAGCTCGGAGTGAAGAACGACCTCTGCAAGGAGCGCATTGTGTGCAGCATGTACAAGGATCCTGCCACCTACAGTCCGCACAGCAACTTCATTTCCGCGGAGCTGAGTCGGTAAGTCGGAGATCATCAAGAGCAGCGTGTGAAAGATATTGATTTTGAAAGATACAAGAGAGTTTAGGATCTTCAGAATGCATTATGCCGGATGTCTTAACTAAGGAGGAGTGGTTAAAAGAATTGTTGCAGTGAAATTAGTTGGTATTTAGGGCACTGCAAGCTGTATTTACCTTTAGATACTAAGCATGGAGTTTACACGAAAAACTTTCCAATCGAACGATCTCCCAGTTGGCCATAAAGGCCTGAGTCAGGCTGGCCTGAACTCCGACTTGTCATTTGCCATAAAATGTGTCATTCTGTGCTCTAATTGCTCCGCAGGCATTGCAAATTGTGATGTCAGGCAGTCAAAAGTGAGATTCATTTTGCAGCTTAGCCGGCCAAGTCGGATTTCAATGCGTCTTCGCTGCGAGTAAAGGCTTAATGACCCACCGCGGATTCGCTGCCCCTTCATTGCCATTCAATTAATAGGCAAGAGCGTGAAAAGAAAGTGGAACTTGGGGCTGTCGCAGTGCCGCTTGTCGTCGCATCTCCTAATTGAACTGCACACTGCACATGGGCAGCCAAGTGGAACTGCCTGCCACAGCCGCGTGCCATCGTCATCATCGTCATCATTTGATGGAGTGGCGGTGGCTTCCACCCACTTCGGTCACTCGGCGGGCACTCGAGCATGTCGCAGGCCAGATAAACTCCCATTTCGTATTCATCATATTTCTCATGGCTCATTATCTTTCGGGCCATGCCCATGCGCTTTTTTCCGCGCCGCCAACAATGAGTGCAAAATTGTTGGGCCCGAGATAACAGCCTTGACAAAAATGCGAGTGACAGCCGGTGTCCCAGGAGGAGCCTTCCAGATCTAGTCCCTTATGTTTGTGTGATTTATGAGTCGGCGCGCCCATGACAAGTCATTAATTGAGTGGCCCAAAGTGTGCTTAATTGCCTTATCGGGACACCAATGACAAAGGCCAGGAGCTCAGGTTTTCGGTCATGGCAGTTGAATATTAATTAAAATAAATGGGCCTAATGAAAGCAAACGTTTGTTTAAAGTGCCCCCTTCGCAGACATGCGCATCTATAATGACAGCAATCATAATTAGTTGAAAGCGTCCTGTACTGTTTACCAAAACTCCAATTCAATCGGAAAATCATCGAACTTGTAAAAACAATTTTGGTGGCCCACGGCAACGGTCGTTCTATGTTAATTAGACTTGGTTGTTGGTTCAACGTATGCCATCAACAAGGTAAGGCCTTAAAACAAAGGGGCCTAATTAAACAAAATACGGCACTGGTATACAAATTTAAAGATGCACTTTAAAGGAATAACTATGATCATAAAACAGTAATTTAGTTCCCTGGCTATCAAAAATACGTTGCTTAGCTAGTGGAATTAGGAACGAGAAATTTCAACATTTTCTGGAATACCGGTAGAAATTAGGGGGAAAAAATTATACAAAAATTTTAAACAAAATTTTAAATGGAGTGGGCGTGGCAAAAATAGTTTTGGCAGATCGATAGATATTTACAAGACTAATAAAAACATAAAAACATCAAAACATTTTTCAAAAGAGTCGGCGTGGCAGTTTTGTGCGACTTGAGGGCGTTAGAGTGGGCGTGGCAATATTTTGAAATAAACTTGCGCTACGTCTATGTCTCTGGAATCTGCACCACCTAATCTTAACTTTCAAGCTTTTGTAGTTCCTGAGATCGAGGCGTTCATACGGACAAACGGACGGACATGACCAGATCGATTCGACTATTGATCCTGACCAAGAATATAGACCAAGAAGCGCTTCCTTCTGCCTGTGAGATACTTTTCAACGAATCTAATATACCCTTTTACACAAAGAGTAACGGGTATAAAAACTAGACCTATGCCAGATCAAGTAACAGAAGTTTAAGTCCGTTCAGTGCTAGTTTTATGCGCCTGTAGCTATTTACTTTTGTAGAAGAGGCAGAGATACAAGACATACTGGAGCACATTAAAAGTCAGACAACACATCCTGGCACCAGGTCACGTTCTCCCATTCCTCGTCGGCGGGCAAAGAGCATAGGGAATCAGTTGGGCCTGGGCTCATGTGAGTGCGATTTTCCGGCCACCACCTACTGGCACGGCTGACTAGTCACATGAAATCCATTAGCGTCACCCCGCCCACTGAATCAATTGCCGCAGACGCCGTCGGTTTAAGAATTGTTGAGCAGCAGGATGCGGAATGGGTGGCGGTGGGTCCTGGGTGAAACTCGATGTCTGGCACACAAAAGGCGCGTGTTTGTAAGCCCAAAAGTACGCAGAGGCGACTCGACCTGCTCCCATGAAAACTTTACTGCGATGGGCCAAAGTGGCAAAGTTAATTAGCTGACTTCCTGGCACCCAGCAAAAAGGCATTCATAGGCTTTGGCTTTGACTTAGGCCTGCAGCTGGAAGTAACAAACTAAAGACACTCAAAAGAATTAAGGCCTTGAATTCAAAAAATATGTCTTAGTATTTCATTATTTAGAAGTATATGTAGTAAAAGCTTTATCTTTAGAACGAAAAGTGTGGCACGGAATTTGAAAAACTTAGTCCAGACCAAAAATCGGGCTCTAATTTTCGAGTGTATATAAAAACCAAGACGAGAAGCATCTGCAGAAAATACGCCTTAATTAAACACGTGAAAGTTGTTAGGCAAAAGTTTTTTATCATTTTGTGTCCGTTGCAGCGATACCAGCGAACTGGAGCCCGTAGCGCATGCGAATGAGGCAGTGCGTCGCTTCTACCGACTAATTCAGGCTGCCCGGGATGGCCAGGATCAAAAGGACTGCCAGAGCCTGTACCCACAGTGCAACATGCAGGCCAAGTGAGTTGGAGGTGCCCAATCTTCGAGAACGAGCAACATTGAAGTCAACTTTTCCTTGTTAAAAACCGAACTGTAAATAGGATAAAACGCCTAAGCTAAGCTTAAATTATTTGTTAGACTCTTATTTATTTATTTATTTATTTATTGTAGTATAATGGTAAAAAACTAAATGTCAATTTGGGCTTTTTAGTCACGTAGCCGCTGCATTCAATATTCATTCTGATTTTGTTCAGTTTCACATACAAATTATTCAACCCAATCGGATGCGGTCAGTACACTTTTTAAATTTCCCACACACGCGTGAATGGCACACGAATAATTCACAGATAATTTACTAAAAATTCCATATAATGAAATCAGAATGTTTATTAACAGCCGGCCAGACGAATGCGGCTGCAAATTCAATTAGTCAATACGCAAAAATTGTTATTAGAGGAGGTTTTGTCGACACCGCATGGAAAATAAATTGAAATTGTGTTACATTTGTATCTTTCAAATTTCGGGCGGACAGGTGAAGCACATAAAATAATCAATGGAGATTTAGTCAGTTCCCGAATATGCTGCCACAAATGCAAGTGGGAAATTATAATTAAATTTAAATACAGTACAAATATTACTTAATACCTGTGTATGTATGTAATTTCCTGAATTCATTTCGTTTACAACATGCATTACAAATTACAAGCAAAGTCGAATTGATTTGGGACCTGGTATAATTTCTTTTTTTCATTGCTTTCGCATGCCTGGCTCTCGAATCAGAGCTGCTAATCCAAGGCAGTATGCTTCAATATTTTAGAAGGCCATTTTCGAAACCCACATGCTGGCAAATCACTCACTCAGACCAGCAGGTTCGATAATAACATGTTTTCTTTGCATAAATCAAGGCGCTCCTGGCTCAGCGGGAATGGCGTCTAATTGTCGCTGGCAAACAGTCGAAATGAAGGAAACCAATTTGCATAAATAAATTTATTAGGCGGCAGTGTATTGGCGTTAGGGCGACTTTGATGTCTCCATGACGAGCACGAACTCATCTGAAATGAATATTTATGTAAATTCCAGGCGCAATTAACACGCAAAGGGCAAAGCTTTCACTTATTTTTCAGCACAAATATTCGGTATTGCCCAAACAAAAAACAAAGCAAAATGGAAACCGACAAAAACACAAAAAATACAACAAAGAGCGGAAGCTTAAGTAAGACATTAAGATTCCTGGGCCCAGCCAACTGCACTGACATCAAAACACCGATTGCCAAATTGGCAGCTCATTAAATGCCAAAGCGGCCCAAGTACACCCCCTACTCCGCCCTTACAATTTTCTTGGGCTTGTCTAAATTTGGCCCACAATACACTTCCGCTTTTCAAACAATTTTTAATGAAATCAAGTTGCACACTCCAAGCACGGTTAATTAATTCCAATGACATGAGTATTGTTTTAATGAAATCCCAGGTATCGTTGACCTGCCTTAAGTATGAGTGAAAAATGTAATCCCATTTATTCGTTTACACTTTCTTTACCACGGAATTTCTGTGAACATATCTATAGTTATAATTTAAAAATTAAAAAAAAAGAGATGATAGAACGCTACAGTAGAGTTCCCCGACTATCAGATACCCGTTACTCAGCTAGTGGAAGTGCGAACGAGAAATTTCTAAATTTTCTGGAATATCGGTAGAAATTGTGAAAATAAATAAAAAAAAATTAACAAAATTTGTAATTTTTACAAGGATATCCTCTCCAACTTAGCATTGGACCGGCAGAGAAAGAAAAACTGGAGAATTGGTAATTTCCTGGTGCATTTACTCTAAAACTTCAGCCCAGATAATATTACAATTAATCATTTGATCAATGCTTAGAATGTTTTCCAATTTCCACATTAGTATATTGCAATATTATCCAATCCATATTCAGGTTTCCAAGCTTGAACATTTAAAATTACAAATTTGAGGATATCAAAACCTTATATACAAAACAAAAACCATTAAATTATTTAAGAAAAACATGTACAAAATAATAGCACTAAATTATTGAAGTCCAGAAAGTACGCATTAAAATATGAGCAATACTTTATTTAATGTTAGTCCCATTTACTGCTGAGGCTCATAAGCTCCCCGCAGAAAAGCTGCTTTTTTATAAGGAAACTATTAACATCAAGGATTAGTTAGACATTTTTGTTTAACGGCTAACCGTTGTGATTTTGGTCACCGAACTACTTGCACTCTAAATCAATTATTTACAACTCGATAACACATTAAGGAATGCTGTAGAATTTTTTGTAATAAATAAAATCTTAATTTAATTTTCGATGGGTTCCTAATCCCAGTAGTAAATTGAAAAATGAACTTCAAACAAACTTCAGGTACGAATTCATTCAATTTGATGCAAATGTTCTTAGATGGCATCATTGATAAAATGGACCCACTTGGAAGCTAAATATATATTTTAAGGAACAAATCAAAGAGACTCACCTCACAATGGAGAATGAAATGTATATTTCCTGCTTCAGTGGTCAGCAGGTGCATTTGTCTGTCCCCCACGGGTATCTGGTCAATCTGGGCAATCTGGGCAAGCGGCGACTGGAGAAGAAAGGGGAGCTGGGCGAGAGGTATTCTAATTGAATTTCCAGGCACGCACCTCGGATTGCTGGGCACTTGATTTTACGAGCGGATCCCCCGAGTCGATGCAGCAGAAGCCATCAAATAACTTTCAATTATGTGCGGCCCATTATGGCTGGTATTATGCGGGAAATCGTCGCAATGAGGAATTCAAACTCCACCGACGACGAGAACGGCGTGCCCATAAAACGTTTGCATGACCCAATGGGCTGAAATATCGGAATAGAATCAGAATCCAGAAGCGCAGTTAGGGCCATACCTGCACAAAGGTGAAACTCAGGTGCGCAACTTGCGCTTTCCATGACTTTGACAACAAAGCGAAATGGTCGCTAAAGCTGGAGCCCAAAGCGGTGGGCACAAAAAGAGCTCCGTGCGTACCTGGCATACGCAATTCAATTAGCAAAGTACCGCCGTATAAAAACCAAGCAGTGCCCCTGCGACATTTGCATAACCCGCTGAGTGGCCGACGCGTGCGCACCACCAAGCCACCAAACCACCAGAGAGAGAGTTGAGGACTAAGCACCGCCAAAAGGATGAAGAGCACCGCCGCCCGTCTGATAGTCGCCCTTGCGGCGCTGGCCGCCGCCCACTCGGCGCCCACCGAAGGCCAGGTGGCGCCCCAGTCCGCCACCCAACTGGCCCTGGACATGTACCACGGCTGCCTGAAGGACCTCAGTGTCTCCTGCGTGCGTCCCAAGGCTCTGCAGTGGTTCAACTCCGCCCTCCGGCAGCCGGAGGTGCGTATCACCGAGCGCCTGTCGATCGTCCGCACCGCTGAGAAGGTCGAGTCGCGATCCCTGCACCCGGAGGAGCGCCTCTTCGACGACATTGACAGCTACCTGGGCAGCCACTCCCTGCGGATCCAGGCTCCAGCGTACTTCAGCACCTCGGAGGCCCGCTCCCTGGTGCCCGACTTCCTCATGTCGAATCCGCTCACCCAGGGAGGTTTGGTTCCCCTGGCAGCTGCTAACGAAGGTAAGTACTCAAAAGAAATTTTAAAGAGCTATAACAGTTAACTTACGTTTTGTTCCAAAAAAGCATTCAAAATACAACACAGGGTCAGAAAAAAGTCTTCATAGTTATTATTAAAATATCACTCTTGTAGACTTAATAGCGTTAATAACATTATGACGAATGGCATTCTCAAAAACCTTTGTATTGCTGAGGTCAAGTAAATCAGTTGAGATATATGCACATCAGCATACTCCTATTGTGGGATACACTACTTATAGCCCTACTCTAAACCCTGTTTTAACACTTTTCCAGGACGTGGCATGATCCGCAAGGCAGTTCTTCCGTTCCTTCTGGGTCTGAAACTGAAGACCACTGTGCTGGTGCCACTGGCCTTGGGACTCATTGCGCTGAAGACCTGGAAGGCGATGACTTTGGGCCTGCTCTCATTGGTGCTGTCTGGAGCCTTGGTTATTTTCAAGATTGCCAAGCCCAAGATCGTCAACTACGAGGTGGTGCACTATCCCCACCACGTGGACCATGTGGTGCCGCATCACATTGAGCACGTGGTGCCCCATCACATCGAGCATGTGGTGCCCCACCACATCGAGCACATTGTGCCACACCACATCGATCACCATCTGGAGCACCACATCGATCACCACGTCGATCTGCCCGTGGAACACATCGAGCACCTGGAGCACCCATCGCCCGCCTGGGATCCTCATGCCTGGGCCCGATCCTCGCAAGAACCACAGGATGCCCAGGACTTGGCCTACGCGGGTCAGAAGTGAATCCGAGTCTAGAGACCCCTTACGAAATTCGGCCAAACCGCAACCTTATTTATTTCGTTCTAGGTTAAGTAGCTGAAACGCACCGCTCTCGGCGTATTGTTTATTTATTTATTTATTGAGGAGTGTACAAAGCAAAAAACCATAAAAAGAAACAAACCCCCAAGGCGTTTTTAAAGGTACTAAGTGGGAATTAGCTCTGGTGTCGCTTTGTGTTCATATTACTGCAATAAAAACATGCAAAAACGATGTGCCTAATTGAAAACTTTTTGAAAGTTGCAACCCCTCAGCGAAGTGGGTAATTATCCCAAAAACTTTTCTAATGTGCGGAGTTTCGCTTTCGGGTTTCTGTTGTCCCTGGAGATTCCATTAGATAAAATGCCACAGAATGAGTGCAACATCTGGCCAAAGTGCCTGATAAAAATGCCAAGTTGAAACGGGGAGTAGAGGAAAACCACAGAGAAATCCTTAATGAAATGCACATATTTTTGCCACGTCAAAAAATCTTCTTTATACTGGAAATACACTGCGAAAAGAAAGAATTTTAACAAGCATTTCAGGAAAACCTTGTAAATAAATATAGTCCCCTTTTACTCTATCACTTTAAGAGTGAGTTCCGTTTGCTCATCTTAACGATAGGTATGCACATTAAATTTAATCTTTTCATAAAGTTTTATGATCAGTACTAATAAAATTTAACACCATCCCATTTTCCCGCTTGTAAATGTTTAATTTTTGTAACATACTCTCAGGGGATTCGATGGCTGTCGTCACGGGGTGCACAATAAACTCGATGGCAAAGTGGAACAATTTATTTATTGCATTCTTTTCTTGCTGCAATTGTGTCCATTCCAGAGAAAATCGATGGCCACTGCTGCGGTCAATCAATTGCCAAAGTGCGCCGCCAAGTCGGAGCTCCTCACCTGACGCAGGTGGGTTGGAAAGCTGCCGCAAGCATACATCTCCTGGCCAAAATGTCGGCGGCGACGGCGTGAAACAATGCAAAATGGCAGTGGCGCCAAAAAAAGAGAATTCGACGGCCAAAAAAACGAGAAATTGAAAAGCAATATCACCACTTCATTTATATTTAACGGCATGCACTTGGCCGCCATCGCTAGGCTATCGTTTCTACGCAACAATTTGGAATATGAAAAGTTTTCCAATTTCATTGGCTCGACGAGAAATGCGACCAGAATGGCAAATTGGTCGCCAATGAAATGGTGAAATTTTTGACCGAGCCAGCGACGCATTGAAAACCGAAAAATGGTCGAGCGCGTTGCTATCAAATCAATTTTCATGGCGACAACGAGAAACGCGTAATCAATGCACGAGATTCATATTTCAACCGTATTTCGAAATTCAGCACATGACTTGGATTAATCGCAGCTGGATATATCACTTTCGCTTTCGTTGAGGAAAAGCACTTTCTACTTCGCTGACATGTAGGTGGTCACTTTTTTGGCAGCCGACCAACCAAAATCCATTGGGCCGGCTCCATCTTTCTTCCCAAATTAATAATTATTATTATTACGAATTGAGTGCCGTAATTAGTTTGCGTAATTTGGCGTGAGTGGGCTGTATAAAATTATGTGTTGCGATACGTTAATTGCTAGTTTCTGGTGGTCAATAAGCGGCTTATGAGCACAAGAGGTTCCTGGGATTACCGCCCACTAACTAATGGCAATAATCAAATGAGCATGGATTCTTTATCACTTGAACACTTTTTAAAAGCCCAAGAGGGTAGGAAAAACACCTTTTCAATTTCTGTAGTCAGAGAAAACGTAGGAGAACAATAGCTATTACGAACTTTTAGTTCGTACTTTTTACGCCAATTAATTGGCTCTATTCACTTTTCCTCAGAACTTTCGCTCTAGTTTCTGAAATTGAATATTCCTTGTCATTAAGCTGCGTTAAGTTAATTTTTTGTTTTTACTAGAGCAGAAAACATTGAATCTAGGATCCAAACAAATCACCAAATGTCTGGAAGCAAGTTAATTGTGGCAAATTCAATCGTTAATGCTAGAGTTCACTCGCCATCTTCGATTTCTCAATGGCGCTTCATATTAAAGTGCAGACTGTGGAATGGCGTTCCTACACTTGGAGAAAAGTGGCAAGCAAAAATAACTTAGCTGAGGCAAACATGCTTGTGTTTAATTTAATATTAATGGCAACGATATATGTAAGTAAACCTTAAAGGGCACAGTGATATATAATTTTTGCTTAATTTATATCTGGAGAAACCCAAATTGAGATTTGCATAATGAGAAATAATCAATATACGTTCGAATAACTTTTAGTGTACGTTTAATTTTTGTAAGACATTTGTAAGACGTTGTAAGACATTGCAGGAATAAAGGAAGGAAGAGGAAAATGTTATTTTAAGCAGAAAATGAAAATGAAGTAACGAAAGTACTGCAGACATAAATATTTTCAAGTGCAGCCATCCACCCACATAGAAAACCCTCGGATGCGAGTGGCACGCGTTCGAAATAAAGCCACATTAAGCATACGACACGTGGAGCGCCGAGGCACGCACACTGGCAAAAATAATAAACTTGGAGCGGCTCTGTCGCGTCCGCTTCATTCATGTCTTCTCCGTTTTTCTTCTCCATTTCTTTTGGCCTGCCATTCGGCAGCGAACGAGTTAAAGATCCAGTGAGTATAAAAATCGTGAACAATAGAAAAACGATTATTAAACGCATTTGTGCCAGCGCAGAGGCGAGTTGTCTGTTGACCAGCGAACCTCAAATAAAAGAACCCGAACAGCAAAATGGCCAAGTTGCTCCTTGTGATCGTTGGTGTGGCGGCCCTGGTGGCCGCGGGACAGGCAGCTAGTGGCTCCAGCGAGCAGCTGCAGCGGCTCATCGCCGAGGAGCAGAGCAAGTGCGCCAGTGGCCAAGACTCGATGGCCTGCATCAAAGAGCGGGCCATGCGGTTCGTGGACAACGTGATGAGCAAAGACAGCTTCCAGGTGAGCTAATAACTACTTACCCATTGTGGGAACAACATTAATTTAAGGGGTAAATGAAGAGGGAGATACTCCTTAAATTCTTCTGATCTTGGTCGTACTTAATATTAATTATTTTAATTACATTCTATACAATTATCTTCATACTTTCAAATCATTTTAATACCTACCATTTAAGGCTTACACTCTCCAAATATAAAGATGGTAGTAAACAAAAGATATAACTTTAGGTGGTCATTAAGGCAATTTGTAATTAACTCGGCAAATCCATTCCATGTGCATCACTGAAATAGGTTTCCAACCTGGAGGTCCGCTCAAATGGAGAGAAGACCATCCCGATCAACGAAGCTCGTGCCAGCAGTGCCGACGGATTCCTGGACGCCATTGAGAACTACATCCGCGGACACGACGTCAGCATGGACTTGCCCTTGGCCGATGCCAAGGTCACCGTCTCGGCCCGCAACCTGGTTAACAATCAGCTGAGCCTGAACCTCCAGCTGAACGGCGACGAAGGCGATGAGGGCACCGATGTCGAAGCCAGGGGTAAGAAGGGCAACATCTTCAAGAAGGGTGGGTTCACTTTCCGCATGCCTTATGCCACTTCCACGGGCTAGCACCTACTACAACTCGAAACGGTCTGAATTTGCAGGCAAGAAGCACCGTCTCCGCAAGCTGGCCATGCCCATCCTGGTGCTCATCCTGCTGAAGGCCATCACGGTGATCCCCATGGCCATTGGCATCCTGAAGATTAAGGCCTTCAACGCCCTGGCCCTGGGCTTCTTCTCCTTCATTGTCTCGGTTGGTTTGGCCATTTTCCAATTGTGCAAAAAGGTAAGCCGGCCGCCATACTAAAACGCATCTCCAATTGTCTTCCAGGCATTCGCTGGATGTGGTAATTAGTCAGCGTTTTGTGTGTTGGGATGATGTTGGGCGTGGAGTTCAGAGTTCGAAATTCAAGGCGGGCTTTGTTGCAATTAAGTGTCCTTTGTAGTGCATGTATGTATGTATAAGAAGTCGAGAGGGCGGCAGCAGCAGGGTAAGTCGAGCCAGAATCCTCGCCCACACTCTCCCGCTTCCCAACCAAACCACAAAACTGACTACCCAACCATCACTAGCATATCGAACATATACGTTCCACTTCGACAGGATTCCATGTTTTTAATTCCATACGTTCTGTGTCCTAGATTGCCCATGATCACCATCACACCGCCCACATCACCGCACATGGTCCTTGGGACGGCCGCACCTTTGGCTCCGTTCCTGTCCCCGTTGTTGAGCAGCCCCAGAAGTTGGCCCAAACCCTGGCTTACCAAGCCTACGCTTAGACCACAAGGAGAACCCCAGAGAACCCAGAGAACCCTGAGAAGCCAGAGGAGCAGTTTGAAGCCAACAAGTGGGCTTAAAGCACAGAATCATTTGTTAATTGTTAGGAATATTCAGTGTCTTTGGGCCACTTTTGCACACTTCCTGGACTGCACACTTCGTTAGACTTTACTTATAATATTTATTATTTATTTATTGAAAACAAGAGATTAAGAAAGCAGAAAAGCAAACACCAAAATAAAGTAGAAAAATAAATGCCTTGAATGCTAAAATCGATTTTGTTCATGGAAGCCAAAGGTCAACATCAAGGTCCAGATCACCAGGTTAACCCATGGCATCTGGCCAAAAGCAGCCCGGGGCTAAAACCGCACCGCTTGAATTCCTGAGCCAACAGGCCTAATTAACGTTTCCACCCCTCGGCGGCATTCTGAGAGTCTGGGCCAATTTCACTCGGCATACAATATGTATGAGCCATCGCCGGAACAGCAATTGTGTCCTAATTAGCCAAATTTAATCCGCAGCAAACGCCGACCCTCGACAGCGAGTTCAATTAAATATTCCGCTCAAGTCGCGTTTGAGGCCCGGCTGAAAGAGTCGATTAAATTGATTAACTGCACATAATTTAAAAATTTAAATTTCCGCTTTTCACTGGTGCGAAAGTTGCCAGGCGTCGGAGAGTGAAAGTGCTCCCCACTTTTGAATCCAGCAAAAGGGACCAAGTGCCAATGGATCAGGGACATTTTCTGACTGAAAAGCCGCTCGCTGAAGCGTACGTCTTGCAGTTAACATGGCCCAAATGGAAAATAAAAACCCGCAATAAATCCCTGTCATGAAAGCAAGCCTCAGATTTGTCTACGCTCAAGTGCACTGGGAAGGTCCTCGCCGGAATTTACATGTGGGGACATTCTATTGGGGTTCCACGAATTCGAGTTCCTATCTAATGCTACTATTCATTATTGCTGCTGTTGAAACTTTTATAGAAACTATAAGTCAAATAAAATCATGCTCACAATATGAATACTTTAAATAAATTTCATGTACGTTAAATTATTTGAAATTAGAAGAGGTTTTGTGGCTACTCTAAAAGTTCTTGTGACTGTGTTACTCAATTTCTCGTTACTAATTTAAATCTTGTTTATATTTCCTACGTAAATACAACTTTTTCGATTTAGGCAGTTTCTAAGTAAGTTCGAATTATTCTACGTTTTTTTATATATTATGCATACAACCCATTGAGCTAAAATTAAATGCCTTTCGAGGGTCAAGCACCAGTTTTCAATGCATGTGTGTTGTGCATGCAACAAAGTGTGAAAACTGGCATAATATAGGCATTTCCGACCTCTGGCCCTTGATGTTGGCAGTTTTCACAGAATTTAAGCCAATTTAACAGCCGAGCGAGCCGATGACGGAGGATTCTTGTGGTGTGGGCAGACACCTGGACAGGCGGCACCGCTTTCATAATCGCTCCCTGCTGTTTTGGTCAGCACACCATCAAGCGTCATCATCATCACCATCACCATCATCATCATCATCATCAGCATGGAGCTGAGGCCAAGACACGAGCTCATGGAAATTCATCGTACCGCTTAAAGCATTCGGACCTTTTTTTGGCACGATCCGAGCAAAAGTGTGGCGCTTGTGAAATAAACATTAGGCTGTCCACAAATTTCTTTTATCGTAGGATACGAGTGTTACACATAAAAGTAACATGTCGCTGATATAAATACAGCAGAGACACCTTTTGAATTATTTAAGCTGACCATTAGGTAATCTGTGATGGTTTCAAAGATTTTGGCAGGCGAAAACCGATGGCATGTTGTGTAATATTCTGGGTTTTGAAAAATTTGTTCAGTACCCAAAGTATAAGAGCCGCACCTTCAAATAATCCTAAATCTAATAATCCTAATCTAATAAATAATCCTAAATCCTACATCTAAAATGCACATATTTGACCCCAATGTGGCCTTAAAAGAACCCCCTTTCTAATAAATGATTATATATTTTATTTTTAAGTGCGATTTTAAAAATGCACTTTTAATCGTTTTGCTTGCGTAAAGTAAAATTTAAACTTCTTTGCCTAGCTGATTTTGATAACTGTCTGAAGATTCATTGAAATAATTTACATGCAAAATAGTGAGCAGGAACACCCTTTTATGTAAATAACTTGAAAATGTGCGACCTAAATATAAGTGGCACAAAAAATCGAAAATCAATTTCGTAATCTGAAGAAAAGCGAACAAAATAATAATTGAAAGCACTGCAAAATCAAAGCCGCAGTTCCGCGTACCAAAAAAATCAAATCCAGTGGGAGTGAATTCCAACCAAATCGTAGTTGAGTTCCGTACTGATTTCTTGTATCGAAATTTGACACAATACGCCGAAGTATGTACGTGTCTTCGATTTGGCTTTCTTGTGTTTGGCCGCGTAAGAGTAATGGGCCTGCATACTAATGGCCAGCCAAAGATATTTTCATCGAGGCGTCAATAATGCAACTTCGACTGCTGGGATGCGGAGGGCCAGGTGGGCTAGGTGTCCGAGGCCGATATGGAAAGCGAGAAAGCTCGAGGGGCAACCCAGTTAGCAGAGGAGAGGCTACTTGAGACTGGGTATGGAAGGGTGCTAAGGGTATATAGTAAATGTGTTAGAAGATATTCGGGGGAAATTCTGTGAAAATAACCTTAGGATCTTATATTAGCTATCTTATCAGCCCTCGTACAACCCAACATCATATGGAGCTCATCCGAACCTTTTCTGATTTATGTTTAGTTCTCCACTAATTGTTTAATATCAGTTTAAACAGCAGAGTAGTTGTGGTATCAATTTTCAGACAGCACTCCTCTGCTTTGTGATCCTGCATTATTCACATATACCAAACGCGTACTACACCAAAAATGAGCAATTATCAAATCTTCAATAAACATCAAATCTGGACTTGAGTTACTGCTCCTTTGCTGCTCAAGTGGCTTACAACTAGTCCTTCTTAAGTAGTTCAGCCAACTTGTTGCATGGCTTGGTGCTGGGTGCAGGGGTACTTAATATTCGTGACACTCGCCCACAGCGTTCTGGTTTTCTTTTCACTTTTTTTGGTGAAAAACTTTGGCCACTTGCTTTCCGTGGACTTGGCCCGTGGCTCGACTTTCGTTGCTCGTAGTGACGAGTGCGCCGCGTTGGGCTGTCCAAAAACCGAGTTGTGCACTCCAAAAAACCAGCACGGGTCTCTTTGGCGCTCTTGGGGAGCGGCAGTATAAAACCCGGAGCAATCGGCGAATCATCCAACATTGTCGCCGCACCGACTCCACAGTGAACACTACGCGCTCTGGTAGTGTCAATAATACCTAATTGTAACTTGCTCGATTGGCAACACAATGGCTTTCCGCTCCACGTCCTTGCTCGCGTTCGGTTGTGCGCTGCTGCTGGTGGCCTCCACATCCGTGTCCGGAGCTGCGATCGAGAACGCTGTGACCCCGCGGATCCACAGCTCCGACGAGCTGATCTCGACAATTGTGGATAAGTGCTTCCATGCCAATGCCATGCATTGCCTGAAGGAGAAGGTGCTCACCTACTTGGACACGGTGGCCAATGTGGAGGAGGAGGTCAGCGGACGCGCCCTTGGCGACGATGTCATCGACAAGGTTATTGTGGACCGCCTGGGCCGCATTCTGAACACCAACGAGATGAGGTTGACGCTGCCTCAGACCTTCTTCGCTGGCTCCGTGGTGACCTATCGCTCGGATCGCGGCTTTGATCTGGAGTTGCCCAGGGATGAGGGTCAGTAGTCATGCTGAAGTCACCCTTGACATCTGCTAATTCTTAGTAAACAATTTAGGTCGCGCCGAGAAGAAGAACAAGGACAAGCTGTTCCTGCCCCTGTTGCTGCTGATGAAGTTCAAGCTGAAGGTGATCATGCCCATCCTGCTGGCTCTGATCGGTCTGAAGGCCACCAAGGCTCTGATTCTGTCCAAGATCGCCATCAAGCTGGTGCTGGGCTTCCTGATCTACAACCTGATCCAAAAGTTGGGAGGCATGAAAATGAACATGGTGCCCATGCCCGCTCCAGCTCCGGCCAGCGAATACGGAGTGCCCAGCACCACCGCCTCCTCCTACGATCCCAGCAGCTGGGAGCCCATGAGCGGAGGTCCCTACGCCCGTTGGGACTCGCAGAACCTGGCCTACAGCTCGTACCACCCTAGCAGCTCGTCGTCCTACTCCTCGGGCTCCTCGTCGGGATCCTCGGGCTCTTCGTCGAGCTACAGCTCGTCCTCCTAAACAGGGAAAGCCATTCGCCCAATTGTACATACCAAGGAACTTGCGATCCTTCCCAGGAGGGATCGCTGCCAGTCACACAGACCAAATGGAACCGGAACCTGCCCCAGGCCATAATTGAAGTCGCTTAGGTTAGGAACGCGAGAGTTTTAGCCATTCTTCAGATCTAACCACATCCCACGTAGCCTGATTCTATGATTCTCCCCTCTTCATGCCTTCTTTCTCACTGACTCTTCGTCTTTTTGCCTTCGTTTCTCTGTCACAAATCGACCAAAAATCAAACTGAATTGAATTAATATTTATTTAATTTATTAAAAATGCAAAAATTTAAAACGTGCATCAAAGTTATTTGTGTGGGTACTGGGAGCGTGTTTTGGGTACATTAAACTGAATCACTGAATCCTTTATAGTTTTCATATTTTGTTGATCACATTTGTGCCCATTAATAAGTGATTTAATCTAAATTAATAAATCTAATCCCCACAGGCTGGCCAGTTGCCTGGTATATAATAGGATTTTAAATATGTACATACATTAAAGAACGGATGTGCTTTACTTCTGACGTGTTCTCGGAACTGCCATGTTACTAAGTCAGCGGCACTTAGCTTAATAGTCTGTCAACTAAACGAGGTACTAACTGATATTATACTGCACGAATTCAAAGCCCGCCAGCACGCAATTGCTGTGGGTGGTGGTAGTGAACCATTAATTGTTTTACGGCACGACAATTTGTTTTATGAAGTTGGTAGGAAGTACCGAACTGCAAAGTACCTAAACGTACTGGAACTGACATCTGTGTTTGCTGCTTAATTGGCCAGGCAGAAAACATCTGTCAGATACAATTGGTATTTAAAGCCTGCAAGCAACCGATTTCAAGACAGTAAAAGCCTTGCTACACAATGTTGGCCAGCATATGGATCCTACTCTTCATGCGGCTCGCGCCAAGTCTGGGCCTCAAATCTAACAGAGGAGTTCATCAGTCGGATACGGAAGTGAGCAAGATCATGAGGTCCCTGGATGTGATACCAGATGTTATACACATTGGACCGCAGGAGTTCCTCAACGTGAGTAAAGCAAAACAACTTTAATAATACGATTGAATATCTTTCTCATAAAGAAACTTATGTCTAAAAACTGTTAATAAAAGTAAGCCAATAAAAAAAGAATTGCTCATTTAGGAGATATTTCGCCCTTATTAAAGCATTTCAATTGTATTTCTAGGAAACTGTTTTAAGTTAAATTATAGTATTTGTAATTTTATTATGAAATAATAAATAGGTAACATACCATGGCCATGTAGCAGCACATTGTGGAAAGCTACTGGAGCCCATGCAAGTGCGCGACGAACCCTACGTAAAATGGCCTTCGGCTCCGGAAAACTACTACGCCCTGCTGATGGTGGATCCGGACGTGCCCAACGTCATAACACCCACGCACCGGGAGTTCCTGCACTGGATGGTGCTGAACATACCCGGCAATCTATTGGCCCTTGGCGATGTGCGCGTGGGCTACATGGGCGCCACTCCGCTGAAGGGGACCGGAACCCATCGGCTCGTCTTCCTGCTCTACAAACAGAGGGACTACACCAAGTTTGACTTCCCGAAATTGCCGAAACACTCGGTTAAGGGACGCAGTGGATTTGAATCTAAGCGGTTCGCAAAGAAATACAAATTTGGGCATCCGGTTGCTGGCAACTTCTTCACATCCCAATGGAGCCACGATGTGCCATCCCTCATTAAAGTCATATCTCACAATGCACGTCAAGCAGCACATTTTTGAATTCAGACCCTAGCTCCCAATAAAAGGAATGCCAAATATAACTCAGAAAAACATATTTAAAGTATGTCCTACAAGTTTAGTTAGTTCCGGTACAATGTTGAGGATATTTATATCGGAATAATTGGACGAACCTTTTTTAAAACGTTCTTAGAGTTAAAAAAAATTATGGGGGACTGATTTTATGATTTGATGGGCCTCAACGCGACTAGTGGTCCATTCTAAGAACTACTCGTGTCACCCAGAAATATTGGAGTTAAACGTCGGCTTTAAAATACTTACGACATTCTTGGCATCTCAAATTTTATTTTGTTAAAATGTCCGATTCCACCGTGTGCTTTTCTAAGCACAAGATCGTGCCGGATATCTTGAAGACGTGTCCCACCAATTTGCTTACGGTAAGCGAGTCCAAACAGCGCCAACAATGGGTCATACCATTTTGTTGTTCCAGGTGACTTACAGTGGTGGACAGGTGGTGGATATAGGCGGTGAGTTGACACCCACGCAGGTGCAGAACCAGCCAAAGGTGGAGTGGGATGCAGATCCGAATGCCCTGTACACGCTTATTCTTACCGATCCGGATGCGCCCAGTCGAAAGGAGCCCAAGTTCCGCGAGTGGCACCACTGGCTGGTGGTCAATATTCCAGGGAACCAAGTCGATAACGGCGTGGTTTTGACCGCCTATGTGGGTGCAGGTCCTCCGCAAGGCACAGGGCTCCATCGTTACGTCTTCTTGGTCTACAAGCAGCCCCAAAAGCTCACTTGCAACGAACCCAAAATCCCAAAAACGAGTGGCGACAAGCGAGCCAATTTCAGCACCTCCAAGTTCATGAGCAAATATAAGCTGGGGGATCCCATTGCTGGGAACTTTTTTCAGGCACAGTGGGACGAATATGTGCCCAAGTTATACAAACAATTATCTGGCAAGAAATAGTATTTTTCTTCATAATTGACTTGCATTGTTTCTTTTTTGCCAAATTCCCATAAAGCATGCTGTAAAGAATAACAATCATTTAGAAAAATATAAATGAAAATAATATATATACAAAATTAGACATTTATGGTAAATATATTATTCAAATACAGTCAACCTAATTCACCAATTACCAACTAGTATAGGCTTTGAATGGACAGCTGATAACAAATATAATCCCCGAAGCGAAACTTTAAACAAAGATAACTTTAATTACTGTTCTGGGCATACTTTTTCCCAGCTGCTTACAAAACAAAAAGCTTTGAGCTTCGCTTTTAAAGTATGGCATCATGGCAAACTGGTTTCAGTTGCTGACAGACCTTGTTCGAAAACGGAGCACCTTTATATTGGCTTGCCCGAGTTCTTATCATCCACCGTATACATTTTCTACAAAGATGCTGATAGTTCTATTGCCATTGGTGGGCTGCCTACTGGCCGTTCAAGCTGACTCCGTGGAGGAAGTTTTCAGATCCCATCAGGTGGTTCCCGACGTTATTCCCGAGCCGCCAAACCAGTTATTAAAGGTGGGGCCTCTAGGAAATCACTCTTAACTCATTCAGGCATATTGAAAAATATTACATTGCCTTAAGAAATAGGATCCGAATAGTGTGTACTCATTAACGTGCTTGCAGACCAGCCCACAATGTTTCTGTACACATATTTACCACACGATCTTTATTTTAATCTAACTTAGTATCTCGTCACAACCTCCTGATCAAAGGTCAAACTATTTAAGGCAACAAACTACTTACGGCATTGTTTTTTACTAGGTCACGTACAGCAACAACCTGGTGGCCAAGGATGGAGTGGAGCTAACGCCCACGCAGGTTAAAGATCAGCCGGTCGTGGAGTGGGACGCGCAGCCCGGGGCGTTTTACACGCTCATCATGACCGATCCCGATGCCCCCAGCCGAGCGGAGCCCAAGTTCCGCGAATTCAAGCACTGGATCCTGGCCAACATTGCCGGCAACGACTTGGCAAGTGGTGAGCCAATCGCCGAGTACATTGGCTCCGGGCCACCCCAGGGAACGGGTCTGCATCGCTACGTCTTCCTGCTGTACAAGCAGTCCGGCAAACTTGAGTTCGATGAGGAGCGCGTGAGCAACAAATCCCGCAAGGATCGCCCCAAATTCAGCGCCGCCAAGTTCGCCAAGAAGCACGAGCTGGGCAGTCCCATTGCTGGAACATTCTACCAAGCCCAATATGACGACTATGTTCCAAAACTTCACAAGCAACTTTCGGAAAATTAATTCGGGTTTTATCGCCCTCTTAAGCAGATTCTCAAGAAATTGAACACTATATGCAAACCCGATTTTAAACAATTGATACAAAGTCGAGACTACTTTACGGATCGTACTTTTCTTATACAATTTTATAATTGGAATATGAAATTAATTTCTTACCCATCATATTAGAACTAAGGTGGTATTAACACTTTCGTCGTAAATTATGAGTCGAAATCAAAGCTCACACTTTTTTTTCTTGATAAAGAGATTTGATTTTTGGATTTATTAAGTGGTTATTGGCTGTACGCTATCGCTATGGCAGACTACTTCCCGGCCGCCGTGGCCAGTGGATTCCTGAGAACCAGGATGACTGAATCGCCGCGCAGAAACATCTTCGATATGAACCGATCCTTGTTCACGGGCTTCACCTTCTTCTTGCCCTTCCCGGTCCGTGGCAGCTCCGTCCACATCTCCTTGACGTTTTCCAGGACCATGTTGCAGTGCCTATCGAAGGCCTTTACCCTGCCCAGGAGCTTCTTGTTGTTGCGGCAGTTGATGAGCACCTGGGTGTTGTTCTTCACGGACTGTGTGAGCACGGACAGCGGCCCGGTGTTGAACTCCTCCTCCTCCTGCCGGGCCAGCTCCTCCGGAGTCAGTTCCGATTTCGGTTTCACAAGGGCCCTGCAGGAAAAACATTATATTAATATTACACTCACAAGTCGAGCGTGGTGCTAACAATGCAAAATGCCGGCGCACATGCCGCTGCCCGTTATTCCATTTCCGGTGGTTGGTCACATCTTCTCTGGGTTACTTACATGACGAATTATATTTGGATTGTTAAATGCTGTTGAAAGTCTCGTGGTTTCGCTTCTCAGTTGGTTTTTGCGTTTATTGTCGGCAAAAAACTTCAGCGCGTCTTGGTTTTTTGCAGTGTTACCAGGTCATTAAACGACTGCACACCAGCCCTGAATCACGAAGCTACATATCGGCGGTTGGCTATCGATTAAAATACATAAGCGATTATTTGGAAAAATCTAATTTTAATTTACATTAACCACATTACATTACATTACGTTACATTAAATTAAATATCCAGTGTTTAAATCTTAAAACATAGGTGTAGTCTAAACTTGACTAAAGATCGTGGAAAGTTAATAACCCATTACAATAGCAATTTCTAGTGCACCAGCCTTGGTCACACTGCCTGGCACGATTTGCGAATCGCGAGGTATTTATTTTGAAAATAAAAGTAAGGAATGGAAACGATGAAAGCGAAGATGAGCACTACTGACAAGGCGGAGGACCCTACCACCACCACTTGCTCCTACTGGGTACCACGCAAAAAGCGCCGCTGCAAGATGAGCGCAAACAAGGGCAGTCAGTTTTGTGGAGCCCATGCCCCAACGACAGCCAGCACTTCAACTTCGGATGAAAAATCTGGAGAGGATTCCTTCCAGGAACGTATTCCCTGCCCGCTTGATCACAAACATACCGTGTTTAAAAGAAAACTGGCCAAACACTTGACCATTTGCAATGCCAGGGATCAAGAAAGTTCACTGCCCTACATTGTGAAAGGAGTCAATTCTGGAGAACTAAAGGAAACGGACGAGGAGTTCGACAAATTCAGTCAAATAAAAATGCACGAGCTTGCGGATGAGGAGTTCTACAGTTTGATCAACAAAGTTAAAGAGCTGTATGACAAACACATCAATTCCAGCATAGAGGAACTGCAGCTGGAGCACGAATCCCTAAAGGAGGAACTTAATCGCAAGGACTACGGCCAGGAAACGCTACGCCAGCTTACCCAAGCCTCTAGCTTGCTGGGCATCCTGGAAAACGATCACCAGCTGACGGATCACACAAGCTACGTGGAATTCGGAGCCGGAAAGGGGCAATTGGCCTACTACTTGGCCACCGCATTGCAGGATCAGCAGTTAAGTCACTCACAGGTGGTCCTCATCGATCGAATGTCCCTGCGGCACAAAAAGGATAACAAGTTGGCCAACAAGGAGGTAGTGCAACGTATCCGTGCTGATATCGCTGATCTAAGGCTTTCTGCTTTGCCTGAGCTAAAGAAAACCCAACGAACGGTGGCTCTTTCAAAGCACCTCTGTGGAGCAGCTACGGATTTGACACTGAGATGTCTGCTTGGTGATGAGAATGCCACTTCGGACTACGTGCTCATTGCCCTGTGTTGCCATCATCGCTGCTCCTGGCGCTCTTATGTGGGACGCAAGTTTCTACTGGAAGCTGGAATTGGACCACGGGAGTTCGCTATCCTAACCAAAATGGTCAGTTGGGCGGTTTGTGGCACGGGCTTAAGCCGCGAGCGGCGCAAGGCCATGGAAACGGCTGACTTTCAGCCCACCGAGACGAGCACGCAGCGGCTAACTCGCCAAGAGCGCGAACAAATTGGTCAACAGTGCAAGCGAGTTCTGGATTATGGACGACTGGAGCACCTACGATCACACGGATACCAAGCAGAGCTCAAGTTTTATGTTCCCAGAGATGTGACTTTGGAGAATGTGGTTCTGCTGGCCAGACCAACCAGCTCTAAGCTCGAGTGCCAAAATAAATGCAGTTGATTTTATTTGAAATTTGTGTCCTCTTCCTTGTTTCAATGGCATAACATTTTCAGTATTTACAGCACTTACGAGGTAAAAACTAGTGACGATTGCACCTTCAAATACAATATTTATTTTGCATTTTTATTGAAGCGTGCCGAATAAGTACATCTTAGATATTTTTTGGGGCTGTAGAGTTTGTCAAAATTTGCCTTTTTTCAATATCAGAAATCAAACAAGAACAGGGCCTGCTTTTATACGTAAAATGTATATTGTTTTTATATAAACTACGAGTATTATTACACGTCATCTAAAACTACATAATATATCATGGACTTATTTTTTACTATTTATTACATTGACATTGTGTCATCAACCCGAAAAATTCGTTTTTGTTTGGTTTAGATTTTTATAATCTGACTTTTAGAAACCTATTACTATTGACGTAAGCTTACTGCACGCAAAAAACGTTCATGTTTTTCAACATCCACACAATTATTTCTCAAGGAATGACCATAATTTAATATTTTATTTACTGATAGAATAAATTTAATATAGACTAGGAAGTAAAAATTGCTCGCTATCCGTCTTCTTGCTTTTATGAACTGTAATATGAAGTTCGTATTATGGCAATGAAACTATTTATACTATTTTGAGTTAAAAGGTTTACTAGACTCCATATAATTATTTATATTCTTGATCAGGATCACTAGTCTTCTGTCGGTATGAACTCCTCGATCTCAGGAACTATAAAATTTAGGAAATATATTACGCATCCAGATGCAACAGAAATATCCGCATTGACTTTTGGAAAATGTTTTCCTTTCCTTTCCTTTCCTTTTTTTTTTTTTTTTTTTTGATTAGTCATCTGAAGATGTATTTTGTCTCATTTTTTTTGTTTTTCAATATTTCTATCGATATCCCGAAAATTATTGAAACTTTTCCTTCGCACCTCTACTAGCTGAAGTATCTGATAGTCGAGGAACTCAACTATAGTGTTCTCCCTTGTGCTTCTCAGAGGCTTCGCCCAAAGCTAGCTCGATTTTGAGATCCTTAAAGTGGTTAACGAGATCCATGCTTTAAGTTCCCGAAACGGCCAGTAATAGCAAGAAAATCCGTTCAAAGGTGAGATGCTCTGAAATGGTCGGCTAAGGGAATTCTGAGATCTTTCGATTGACTTACACAATCTAACATCGGCCCCTTCAATCTCAGCCCTATAAGTTTGCTATGATAAGCCTCTTGGTCCGACGGGGAGGTCTAAATGCCTTGGTGCCTTAAGTCCTTACTTAACATATCCCTCAGTTTCACATGTGACTATCAACCTAGAATTAAGTAACAAACGTCTAATTAAACAGTTTTCCAGACTCGCTCGAGAATACGAATTTTCGGAATAAGAACTCCAAGGGTGCACCTCTAGACCCAACCCCCAAGAACGTCTTCGGTGTTTGCCCGAAATGTCAGGACAAAAGGACCTCAACGCGGACACCTCGAGTGGCGAGCGCACGTCCAATCACAGAGCAAAACAATAATTGTTTACAAATTGTTAACACGGTCCGCAATAGTAGTAGATGATTGTCACTTTTGACGCGCCACGCCCCCTGCCAGGGGCGTCTCGGGCAAATAAAAATCCTCAAATCACGCTTTGGCACAAGGCACTACTACACTGGAAAAATCTGTCTTGCAGCTTTTTGGGTTTACATCTTAATTCGAATACGGTTCAATTTTATGATACGAATTTCATATACAACTAAAACTTGTATATATATATATATATATATATATATATATATCATATCTATCTTAATAAGTTTAAAGGGCCTTTTAGAATGATATTTTAGAGTCTAATTAAAATGAATTTTAGAAATATTTCGAAACATATTTCTGCCCTGTGTAACTGGTTTGCATATCATTTGCGGCCGTAGCACATCCAGGTGGCATATAAAACCGCCAATATCCAGGAGGAGCTGATTCAGTCTGCGGCGACTCCCATTGGCAGCACTGCTACCATGTCGAACTCCAGTGCCTGCGCAGTGTGCGGCGATCAAAGCTCCGGGAAGCACTACGGCGTGGCCTGCTGCGATGGGTGCTCGTGCTTCTTCAAGCGGAGCGTGCGGCGCGGCAGTAGCTACGCCTGCATCGCTCTGGCCGGGAACTGTGTGGTGGACAAGGCGCGAAGGAACTGGTGCCCCTCCTGCCGCTTCCAGAGATGCCTGGCCGTGGGAATGAACGCCGCCGCGGTTCAGGAGGAGCGGGGTCCGCGCAACCAGCAGGTGGCTCTTTACCGCGGTGCCCGGAGACATGCTCCGCTATCTCCGCAGCCCTCGCCATCTCCGACGCCCCACTCCCAGGCGCTGCACTTCCAGATCCTTGCCCAGATCCTCGTCACGTGCCTGCGCCAGGCGAAGGCCAACGAGCAATTCGCTCTCCTGGATCGCTGTCAGCAGGACGCCATCCTGCAGGTGGTATGGAGCGAGATCTTCGTCCTGCGTGCGTCCCACTGGTCGCTGGACATCAGCGCCATGATCGACGGCTGCGGCGATGAGCAGCTCAAGCGACTCATCTTCGAGGCCCACCAGCTGAGGGCCGACGTCTTGGAACTGAATTTTTTGGAGTCCCTGATCTTGTGCAGAAAAGGTAAAGTGGGCCTGAGCTACGCCTGGGCGGTAAAACGACTTAATAGGATGTAGAAATAAAACCAGGTTTGGATATTTTTAAACATAATCTTACTTGAAAACAAAACTGCGAATAGTACAGGTATAAAAATGCGAGATCAAGCAACTGTTGATACAAAATTACACCCAAAAAATAACAGGAAAAACGTTTATACATATTTCGGTTTTAACAAATTCGTAAATACTTGTTATCCAATAATGATCTGTGTGGGTGTGGTGTTACAGAAATGTTCGCACATTGTGCAGGTGGTTGATGTGTTTAAATTAAATAATTGTTTAAATCGCTTAAATGTTACTTACAGAATTGGCCATCAGCACGGAGTACGCCGTTGTCCTGGGAAGCCACTCGAATGCCGCCTTGATCTCCTTAGCCCGATACACCCTGCAGCAATCCAACTACCTGCGGTTTGGACAACTCCTTCTTGGTCTCCGGCAGCTCTGCCTGAAGCGCTTCGACTGCGCGCTGTCCTGTATGTTTCGCAGCGTGGTTAGGGACATCTTGAAAACCCTTTAGGCGCAAGTTGACCAACCGTCTATTGCCCCCTTTAAAATTAAAGAAAATCATAGTATTAAAGAGGAAGCACAAAAAACACAATTTAACCATTTGAATACTTCTTCTGTCTATAGTAATTTCAAATTTCTGCGGTAATTGTCAACAATCGTACATTTATACTAATACTTTAATTGCATCGTGCAATTCGTTGGTAATACAAATGTTTGCTACAACTTTAATCATTTTGTATTCAAAAATGCTTTTTCAAAAATATCCTTCCGAAACTTTTTTTTTAAGGTGGCCATATCGCAATACGGAAGCCTATCGATATGTTCGTTCCTGGTTGCTATCGATATATTGATATATTTTTGCCATCGCTACATTGTCTGCTGCGGCCGTCTTGTCGTCTTTCTGTAATTATTTTTCGTATTTAACAAATCCGTGGATAATGTAAACCAATTAGTGGGTGATGCAAAGACCAAAAATGCGCGCGCGTTGCTAAAGTAGCCAGAAAGCGAGAAAGTTTGCTGCTCGCCATAAGATTTGTTGGCTTTTCCTGCTGCTGGTGCCTCTGGTCCGTCGGCCATTAATGACACACACCAGAGAAATCGGGAAAACAATACAGTGTGTGTGTGGTGCGGTGCGGAGTGTGTGCGAGTGCGGCCAAGTGTTGTGGGCTCGGAAAACTCCAAGAAGCCAGTGGAGAAGTGGGGTCCACTCGAATCCGTGAATCGCAAGCGTTTCTTCGACTGCAAGCGGCGTACAGGGTGCACCGTGCAAAAGAAAGGCAACCAAGGCATATTGTACCTGCAGTGAGTTCAAGTGGAGAGCGGTGGTTTAGTGGATCTGGAAAGGGGGGCTGGCAGAGAGCGGGGCGAGGGAGTTTCATTCATAAAAAGAGAGTGCACCGTTAGTCCAATTGGTCTGGCTTCCAATGCACAGGCAAGCACACACGCCGCTAAGGAGAGGTTGCACACATTGATTTTTCCATCTCATCTGTGTGTGTTTGCGCGTGTGTGTGTGGATTAAAGGAGAACGTTTCAAGTGGTTTCCACGCCACATTATTTTGGATTAACGCATTGCTGCTCCCGAATTTCCAGCACAAAAATAAAGCAACCTTATGTCAACAAGCCGGAATGCCCCAATTCCCCTCCCCCCGCTACCAACGCCATGACGAGGGACAAGACATTTACATAAAGCTCAATAACTAACAACATTTCGCACTCGATTTGGCATTTAACAGTTGCCGCTATAACGGCACATGTCCAGTGCCCCTAGCTCCCCCCTCCGGGGGGCAGGGCCTCCTCCTTTCGTGGAAAAACTTATTTGCTTAGCACGGTCACAGGTAAAAGCGGATGGGACAGGGACGCGGGGAGCGGGGAAGCGGACGCAGAAGGGAACTGAAAAGAGGAATATAAAAGGCATAACATTTCCGCCTGCTGCTTTCGGCTGGCGTCCGCAACCAAAATAGACAACGTCTCAGCGGCAGAGAGTCGCCGTCGCCAGCAGTTATGGGTGGCAAGTCGCAAAATATGCACCGATTATAGGAATAGTATCATTTTGACATGTATGCGGATTAAATATTTATACTAAGATGATGCCATTTCGATAATGATAACTTATAGTTATATCTTAAATGAGCATCCAAGATAAAATCGAGTAGATCGTTAATTTTTCATCCGGACATCAGGTTTTCGTCTTCGTCATGTGAGCTTATTTTGAAGTTATTCCAGGAATAAATTCCTCATATCAATTCTTAAGTTTTGTTTTGAAAGAAAGATAACACAAAGTAGTCAAAGTAAAAGACTCAACATGACGAAACTGTCACGAAACTAGATTGCAAGCTTTAGCTCCGCATAAACGTGGCGAAGAAGTATACATACATATGTTTGTTTGTGGCTTCTATCAGCTCTTGGAGCAAGCGCCACGTTTGCTTCGCTGTTGTTGCAACATGCACCTAGGCCTGCGCCACTTTGAAAGTCCTACTCTCCTCCCTTCCGGTCCCCCGCGTCTGTCAACCCCTGTCACTAATTTAAATGCCGCAAGTGTTGTCGAGTTTCCTGTGCCTACAATGTGTGTTTTTCTCATTAGGGAATAATTTTGCATGGGGCCCTGCAGAAAGAAAACCATTTTTATCGATTTTACCTAAAGTTCGACCGCCAATGAAATCAAACACAATGCGGTACATCGTTAACCCAATTCTGGGCGCCCACACGCTCCCGAAAAGTTTGTTGTTGCTTGATCTAAAAACGAATTCTTACCTATGTGTGTATGTTTGCATGCATATATATATATATATGTACATATATACTCTCTGGGCAAGCAGCCAGTAAAGCTACGTATGCCCATAAAGCCGATAGTACAGAAATACAGCTGCGGTCAAGATTATATCACGGAGAGATTCCAGTATGAATATTTTTTCTTATAACACCAATTTTACTGAAATCATCATTTTAATTTACGTTTGTCGGTACTTGTTACTTCTTATCTTCTTAATTGCGAAACCAATACATTTGCAAATATACATTTAAATACGAAATCTTTCCGTAGCTTTTAGTGCGTTTAGTTTTCTTAAGTGTAGTGTTACCTTTATCTAACTTAAATTCAATTCAGTATGCCTCGACATACATATGTACATATGTAATTGAAATCAATGGGTGTATCTGTATTTTGCAAACAATCTACATTATATGTACAACTCATAGGGGAATTTAAAGACAACAAAATCGTACACTCAAATATTACAAAGTGAGGTATGAGGGCGGATTCAACCGCATGCACACTTTGATTTGGGTAATTTACTTTATGATTCAACGGCTTATCTCTTATATAGTTATACATATCCTGTTTACTGAGAACCATTTTCCTGATGATTCAAAAGTTTGAATTGATATTCCGTTTAATCTCCGCTATTAAGTTGACCACAGCTGTTGGAACTGTATGTTGTTGTTTGTCCAACGTTTTCACACTTCGCCACCCCCTCGTCCCAGACTCTCCGCCTCCCGTTAGTTGCATTGACTCTTGACGCCTGACGTTGATAAATGAATCATAAAAGCAGCGCAGTCGACGTCGCCGGCAAAGCAGACGGGCGCCAAAGTCGCCTGGCTCTCTTTGCCACTCTGCGCTTCCACTCCTTTTCGCCCTCTCCGCTCATATGTTTGGCTGCGTGCCGCCCACTCAAATGTGTTTATGTTGTTGTTATTGTCCGCGCAGCTCAATTTCCTCATTTGTGTGTTTGTAGTAATTCCCAATGCGTGAGCTGCTTTGTTTTTGTTTCCAGTGCTGATCGAAGCCACTCTTGTTATCGCAACGAATTTTTTATGGCCCTCGATCGTTTGAGTGGACGAGAGAGGAGCAGCAGAGAGACAGAGAGGATACCGTTAAAGTGTTTTGTGTGGGTACAGTGGTTTCCGTCCACTGGTAACTGCAATTAAAAGTGTATTCTTCTAAAGTTTATTTCATTTTGAGTCTTATGGCTTATACTAAAATCACAATTGTAAACCACTTTCTTCAGAAAAGAGAACAAACAAGAACAAGAAAAGTTGTTGCATTTCATATTTAGTAGCAGACAATATTTACAATTATTTGTATCCATCATATCGAAAATTATTTAAAGTTCCATAGAACCCTAACGAACATTTAGGTTTAAAAAAATCTAAAAGTGAATAGATGTGGGTATACAAATATGATCAATGCACAATTTACTTAAGAATAATAATAATAATAAGTTCCTTACATTGCTGTGCAATAATTACGGAATATTATTTTTATAGAATTGTATAGCTTGAGCTATTTTAAAAATTACCTCGAATACCCCTATCAAACAGCTTTTAAAGCAATGTAAGGGCGGCACTCTCGCGAGCTGGGTGCTCCGAGCCAATCTCTTGGAGCCATGTGTGTTGTTTGTTGCCTTTTGCCGGCTGCTCTAGTGGCAGTGACACTCGAGGGTGAGAAACAAGCTGACGGAACAACTGAGCAACGGGCCCACAGTCCGAATTAGTGCGCCGGACGGCCCATATTGATAAATTTATAACTGCTGCTATAAACCCTCCTCTCCCACCGCAGCCTTAGGAGTGTAGGTGTAGTTGTGTGTGTAGGTGTTGTGTTTTTGAAAATTTTCAAAAAGCAAAACAGTGCTTTTAGTGTGCTAATAAATTGAGAGCACACCGCTTTGACGTGATCTTCATGAAGATCGGCAAAAAAGAATAATAAAGAGAAAAAATGTATAACTTTGTGCAGAATTGCGTGAAACACACAACGCCAAAGTGTTCGCGAAATATATATAAACAAGCTATATTTTGTAGTTGTATGACAAATTTGGTATTTTGTAGAACTATATGACGCGATTGCAATATTGTACGGAAAGAAATATAGAATGATATATATACTAAGATAAGCTGCAGAACACTTTTCGCTACAGATAACAGAAGGTTGGCACCCCTGGAATACTCCAAGCATTAAATCATTTCTGCACTGTTCTCGATTTCGAATTCCTTGATGAAATCACCCGTTTCTAAATAATTCGTTTTGAATGTTTTCTAACACATTCCATATGAATGTAAAGCGGTGCATTCAAAAAATGTACAGGCTTCCTTATCGAAAGTGAATATATCCATGAAATCACAATTGTTGGGATAGGTATCTCACATTTGGTAAATTTTAGTGAAGACGAATTATTTAATAATGACCTACATAATGATCTCTTTTTCCCACTCTCGACAGCTGTTTTCTGACCATAGAACAGCTGTGCATCACGGGGCGCTAGACAAAGCGGAGGAGGAGGAAGCAGGAGCTAACCAGAAGAGCCAGAGGCACCAAAAGACGAAGCCATGTCCAGCGAGGAAGACAAACCGCCGGCGCCGCCCGTGCGTCTCACCAGCAATCGGGGCGGCAGTGAACGATCTGGAGGAGGAGTGGGCGTCGGCGGCGGAGGACTGGGAGGTGGCGGGATGGGAGATGTACCGCCCGACATGCGACCGCTTCCCAAGGGTGAGTACAATTCGATTAGTTGAGCACGGCATGTAGAGACCGCTGGTCCGCTTAACAATGTGTTTCTATCTCTTCTCCCAAAAAGAA